CCCCCCCCCCAAGCACCGCGCACCGCGCCGCCCCCACCCGCGGAATGCCCTGCCGCGCCGTGCTGCCCCCCGCCACCCCAAGATTGGCCACCCCTTACCAAGCGCCGCCCCAAGCATGTGCTTGGTTGCCTGGTGCCTGGAGCCGGCCCTGGGGAGTTGGTAGCCTCTTTGGACCATTTTTATGTCACTGGGAGGACACTAGCCTACGCTTGGACTCTGTGAATGGATACACACTAATGAAGGCTCTGAGGTGAAGCAGGGAGAGCTGGATGTGCTGCTGACCATGCTGGCGCATTTGGGGAGCTAGCCCTTGTCCCAGATGAGGCGTGCCTCTGGTTTGTGGGGCTTGCCCAGCGCTGTGCCCGTGGGCTGCCTGTGTTACTGTGTCACGGTGCTGTAGCTCGGAGAGGCGTGGACATGCGCCCTGGGCCCACGATGGGGTTTCAGGACCGATGAGCTGGGCTGCAAGGATCTGGGGCTGTTCCCCGACAGGTTGGGATACCACACCCCTACTCCGCCTCACTCCCCAGGGAGCCCCTGGGGAGCTTTGGGGAGCCAAGCCAACTCCCCCTGCATCCCCTCTCTGCAGAGGGTGGGACCAACCCCCCCGTTCCCTTCCCAGGGAGCGGCGGAAATCTCAGCCCCGCCTCTTGCCTGCTCTAGGGGGTGGGGCGCATTCTCGCTAGCCACGCCTCTTCCGCTAAGGCGGCTGCCCATTGGCTGGCACGCGACGGTTTCACTTCCGGGTGGAAGCCGCTGAGTGGATGGCGGCGGCGGGCAGCTCGGGCCCGGCCGGCCCTGGGGTGCTGGGGGCGGCCGGCTGGGACGGGGACTTCCTGGCGCGGTACCGGCTGGTGTCGGCCAAGCTGCGGAAGCGGTTCCTGCGGAAGCCGAACGTGTCGGAGGCGGCGGAGCAGTTCGGGGTGCTGGCCCGGGAGCTGCGGGCCCAGGAGAGCCTTCCCTACGCCGCCTGGTGCCAGCTGGCCGTGGCCCGCTGCGCCCAGAGCCTCTTCCACGGGCCCGGCGAGGCGCAGGCCCTGACCGAGGCCGCGCGCCTCTTCCTGCGCCAGGAGCGGGACCTGCAGCAGCGGCTGAGCCTGAGCGGCGGCTTCGCTGAGCATCTGCAGGCCTCGCATAGCTGCTTCGCCTTCGCCGCCCGCCTGCACCTGGAACTGGGGCAGCCGGCGCTGGCTGCAGGGCTCTGCCTGGAGCTGGGCTCGGCGTTGCGGGACATGGAGCAGCCCGGCCCAGCCGCCCCACACTTCCAGCGTGCTGCCGAGCTGCTGGCGGCCGCTGAGCTGCCCCTGGAGGCGCTGCGCTGCCTGGGCGAGCTGGCCTCCTGTCTGTTGCTCACCCGCGACTACGAAGGGGCCCTGGCTGTGCTCACCCAGGCGCAGCTGCTGGCCCAGGCCGGGCCCAGCCCACCCAGCGGCGCCTTCCTAGAGGTGTTGGTGCGTTGCGAGGTGTCCCGGGTGCTACTGCTTCTGCTGCTTCAGCCGCCGCTACCCAAGCTGCTGCCTGAGCATGCCCAGACCCTGGAGAAATACTGCTGGGAGGCCTTCGAGAGTGGGGCGGGAGCTGGGCAACTCCCCCAGGCAGGGTATCTGCCCCCGGGCCTCTTCCTCCTGCTGCAGTCCACTGTCATGGCCTGTCAGGAGAAGGACCTGGAGGCACTCAAAGTGCTGCAGGCCGAGCTCTGGCCGCTGCTCAGCCCCGAGCAGAACCACCTGCTCCACCTGGTGCTTCAAGAGATGATCAGCCCCTCTGGGCAGGGGGCCTAGTTCCCCCACTCAGACTGGCTTCAGTTGCCTGTTGCCACTTCCATAGGGGAGAGGCCTGCCCCACCCACCTGCTGCTGCCTCAGTGGGACTCTGAGTCCCCCCCCCCCCCAAACCAGCATCACCAGGGAGATAGGCCTTGCCCACCTTCAGCTGCCATCTCTATGGCATCTCTGCACCATCTGCCATCTCCACAGAGACTAACTGCACCTTCACTGATCTGTTGCTATCTCCCTCATATAACCTGAAACCCTCAGCAAGCAGTAATGCAACCTATTGCAACCATCCACAGGAGAGATGAGCCCCATCTGCTACCACGGGGAATGGCCTTCCCCTCTGCTGCCAGCCACAGGAGTCTAATCCCTACCCTGCATCACCACCAGCATGACTTGTTTCAACCACCATGGGATTCTGTTTCCCACAGTAGCCATATAGAGGGTTTTTCCATTTTGGCCCATCACCACTACACAGCCTTGGTTCATCTCTCTGCTACCATCCGCATGTAGGAAAGGACTATGTGAGCTAGAGACTATTTTCCCATTGGGGACAAGGAACTTGGACATGCCAACACTTCCTATTTACTACTACTAGTTATAGAGATCTTTCCTTTTTCAGCCCCAGTGCAGCCTCTTTGCCATTCTCCTCTCACTCACAGATTCAAGACACCTGCTACTGCAGGAGATGATCCATTAGAAACTGTATGTATGCTACTACAGTTTGAGGTAGTAAGAGGTGGGATTCTTGCCATTTTTTATGAAAAGACTGCAAATGGCACTCATTTTCCAAACAGTCCACAAATGCCAGGATTCAGTCTTTTAGTTTAAAATTCTCACATTTGGAGATGTAATGACTAGTGCATTTTTTCTGTATCAGTGTAATTCACATGTGAGCAAGCTGGTAAAAATACCAGTTTCTGTTTAAAGTGCTAAGTTTAAAAAAAGTAACTAAACTCGTAACTCTTTCCATTTAAAAACTAAATTGGAAGCTAAAGTTTTATTCTGTACCTTCTGCTCCAGATTCTGTTTCAATGTTGGTATCTGTTGCCTAAGAATTGTACTTTCTAACTACCTGGCTCTTGGTCCTAGTTCTTGCTCTGTTAATAAATGCTATAGATAGAACTCTCGAGACACCAATGTATCCTGAAGCCTTGTAGTTCTTTAAGATGTAATTCAATAAATATTGTAGACTTTTAAAACTGTTTACTACTCAATACAGATATCACTAGCTACAACCTAGGCAATATGGGGAGTCACTGCTGCTGGCTCTTTAGCCTCACTGCCTTGTTGGTTTCATTCAACAAGTAGGTAAAGATGGATGTAATGTGTTTAATTTTGGCATTTGCTACAGAGACTATATTACTTTATGTATCAGGCCTGTTACAGCAGTTTAAAAGGATTGTATTGGTGTAGGAACATTTACCTGTAACTTTGGCCCTCAGATATGTTTTTGCAGCTCCTTCTAAGGTGTATAGGAGTTGTGCATTCATAGTGGAGGGCAAAATGGAGCCTTGATGTATATCTAAAAAGCACGTGAACTTTGATTAGTTTTTAACACTTTTTAACATTAACTTTTCTATTTTAATGATGAAGAGAATTAAAAATTGGATAATGGACCCTTTCTGTGGTCTAATGAACTAAACCTACTTTCCTACTTGAATTTCCATTTCCAAGCTCATTTTACAAATCTCTGGTGTAAATTTAATGTTTGTATGGCATTTCTTATGTGCTGAAAAATAACACTGCCCTGAGAAGAGCATGTTGCTGGCCATCTTCTGGAAAGAATGTTTTCCTGCAGAGGATGAACTTTAGTTGTGCCTTTCTGGGGTGGGTTCCTTTTAATCATATTTAGGCATCCTAAAGAAACAATGGTGTTTTTTTTTTCTTTTTGCAAGCTGGATTACCTTTGACACAAATGGCACCTTGTGGACCTCAAGCTATGTAGTGTTTCTACCTCACATGGTCTTCTGTGTGAATAAAAGTGAGGCTGTTTTGGAAGTTGCTTAAAAAAATACTTCAAGCCTTTGTTGTAAGTGGAGACAAAACATCCCTGCAAAGCATTGGAAATTGATGGGTATTTTGTGTCGTTGTTGCTTTATGTGCAACTGCAAACTGATTTATACATATAAAAGTGAACTTTACATTATTTCTTAAATGTTTTGAAATGTAATTTTTACTGACCTGTTTTGAAATCATCAGTGCATTCACTGAGGTATGACTAATGAAGCATCTATGTACTGAAACTCAGAATGGAGTTTCCTGTCTTTATTCTCCTGAAGTAGTCTTCAGCTGTCTAAGCTTGTGTGTGCTGCACGGTTTGAGTCTAGGTGCAGTGCCAGAGGGCAGGATATGGGGGGGAAATGTTAAAGGGAGCTACTATTGTATGTTACATCTTTAAGATAAAACTGTGTAAAAACAAAACTGCAGGTGTCCCTCCTGTGGGGAAGACTCATAACCATATACTGAACTGGTGATGGGTGGGAACAGAGTGCTTCAAAGCAAGCTTAGGCCTAAGGGCTATCATAAGAGGGCTGAAAATGTTGGATAGATAGAAGGGCTATTCTAAACATAGAAAACTCTCTAACCAAGGACAGAGTGATTATTACATACTTTCCCAGGGTGTGTGATTCTGTAACATACTCATACCCTTTTCTTTCTACTCTTTTAATCTGCATTATGACCTTTTAAAAAAGGAAAACTCCTTCCTCCTCCATAGTACACTCCTACCTGCAGCATCATGTTTACAATAGCCCTCTGGATTGGCAATAACAGTGATGTCTAGGGGGGGCTGACAGGAGGCAAAGCATTAGGCGTTTCTATAGCTGTGAAAACAACAAGGCATCTGGTGGCACCTTAAAGACTAACAGATTTATTTGGGCATAAGCTTTCGTGGGTAAAAACCTCACTTCTTTGGATGCATCCGAAGAAGTGAGGTTTTTACCCATGAAAGCTTATGCCCAAATAAATCTTAGTCTTTAAGGTGCCACCAGACTCCTTGTTGTTTTTGTAGATACAGACTAACACGGCTCCCCCCTGATACTTGACACTATAGCTGTGGTACTCCTTTCCCTTAAGAAAGTGGAATGAGCATGTTCAGTGTAAATAGGGACTCTGGCACAGCTTTCCTGCAGTAGTAACTTTTTTTAAAGGCGTGACCGCTTCCCATATGCCAGAGTGAAATAATCGTTGCTTGCTTTAGGAGGAGGTCTGGCGATAGCGCTTGGACCTCACCTTAGCCCCAGCTGGCAGGGTCACTGCGCCCCCTATGCTCGAGTTACGGCCATCCACGTGGCGTGCGGCTGCTGGGGGGGGGGGGGGGAACGTTCAGTATCGCGGTGCGGGAAGTTTGTGGGGGTGCCGTGGCGGTGATGGCCCTTGAGTGGAAGGGGGTGCCCAGCGCCCCGCAGGAGCTAGCCATGAGGGTCAGAGGCCTTATTGGAACAACCGGGAGGTGAGCGGGCTGGGGTGGCCGGGCCCCATGGTGAGAACAGTGTGATGCCCCCAGTAGGACTGCTAGCCCGTCACGTGACGGGAAGCGGGCCGCACGCCGCCTCGTCACGTGGCGGGGAAGCAGTACCTCCTCTTCTTCCCACCCTGGCCGGGTCCTTGAGCACGTGACAGGGACTGGACTTGCGCGCGGTGCTTCTCGGGACGGGGGCGGCGCTCCAGTCTCTCTTTCTGCGCGGTGGCGGGTGGCGGTAGCACGCGGCTCCCGGAGTGCGCGGAGCGAAGATGGCGGACGGGGAAGGTGGGGAGCCTGTCCCGGCCACGGGGTGGTTCTGTCTGGCCCGAACACGTGGCCTGGGGCTGGTCTCGGTCTCTCTGGCTGCCCCGGGCGTGGCTCTGCTCCGCCGGCTGGGCCGCGATCCGAGCCCTGCTGCCACCTGGGGCTGCTCCGTTCTGCGTACACGTGGCTTGGGCGGCCTTGAGAAAACCGGGAGCCCCTGGAATTACCTCCGGGCCAAATACCTGGTGCCGTAGTGACAAAAACCCGTTTCCCCGTGCCTAGGCCCAGCGGTGTGCGCGCGCCCCGGTGTGCGCCAGCCCCGCAGCCTCTCGTCTTTCGTTTGCAAAAGTTATAGTCACCCAAGCTGTGCTGGAAACCTGTCAGTATGGCGTGTGGCTGACTGCGGGCATCCTGGCACGTGGCTCTGAGCCTGGGCGGTGTAAGCTTTCTCCTGCTCCTACCCCATTAATCTCGCTTCAGCATTGACTCTGAAGCCTAATGAAGATATTTTTCATGTCTTCAATGGTTATTTCATTGTCAATTTTTGTCAGAAGATGGGAGAGGGGAGGAGCTCCTGGAATTGGGGGTTGTTTCGGAGAAGAAAATGCAGACGGGTAAAAAGTAGGAAAGAGAAAAGACAACGGAGAAGGAAGAAAATTGCAGTGTGGAAATAGTTGCTCTTAAATATCATATGTTGCCTCTGAGTGATACTGAATGCGTCAAAGAGCTGAACAAATAATAATTAAGTTGCCTCTGAACCTTATATTGAACTAAGGAATCTAATTTTTAGGAGATAAATGTTGCTTGTTTGTTAATTTTGCTGTTTTATATGCTCTTGCCACAGGAGGTTGTCCTAGTATAAAATTCTGTAGTGCTACCAGTTTGGATTCGGATGAGTTCTGGTATGAAAAATATTTAATGTACCCTCTCTGTTTCAAATATAGGTTGTATAGCTAAGAAGCAGAAGAAGAAAAAGGATAAGAAATCTCTACCAGATGCAGATGTTGCTGTAAGTGGAGGTTTTTTTTTTTTTTTTTTTTTTTTCCCCTCTTGTATGACTGAGTTTGCCTCCAGGCTAGCTTGGTGCCTTGACTTGATTTCAAGTTGAGCAAAACTCTTGTTTAGGGAAGATCTTGGAACCTGCTTCACCTGTTTTCGGTATCTCTAGAAAAGGACTTAATGGCCCACTTCTGGAATCTTTAACTGTGTGAGTAATGGTTTAACAATGTTTACTCACCTGCAATTTTAGGTCTTTAGTTGGAGGGGAGAGAAGCAGCAGGATAGAAGGCGAGCAGTGTTGTTTCCTGCCTTGGTTTTGGAGAATGCTGCCCATGGGAACTCAGGGACTTAGAATGGAAGAGGATTGGAGTCTTTCAGAATCAGCACCTCTCCTTGCTCCGAGTATGAATAGACAAATAGAACTGCCCTGACTGGAGGCAAAAAACTGTAGCAGATTTTTAAATTCTTTAACAGCTTTGATCCCAGAGAATTGAGTGTTGGTGTCTCTTGGATAAAACTACTTTTTTTTTTTCTAATAAAAGTAAATCTCTTGAGACTAAAATGGCTGTTTAGGATCTAATGGAGTGATGTATTTATGCTACAGCTGACTACAGGTTTAGTATTTTGCTTTCTGCCACCAACTCTCTGTATACAATTTTTTTCATGACTAATGTACCCGAATACTTGGATGCTAAATATCTTAACTTTATTCTTAAATTCATTCACCTAAATTTGGGTTACTGCTGATTATGCACTATATGTATCTTATGACTTTAAAAACACACTTTATATTTGTGGATAATCTAAGCATTATACCCAGATGTACAAATAGTCTTAACCTGTGTATTATATGATTTTAACATTCGCTTTAATTAAATTTTAAAATCTGTTCTTATCAGTTTAATTATCCGGGGGGGGGGGAATGCTTGTGCTTAGAATGTGTCATTCAAAAGAGAAGCTGTCCTAAATTGGCCTTTATTCATTTTTAAATAGAAATAATCCATTATTGGATTTGGATTTAGTCTTTTTTCACCCATTCACTCAGTCACCTGAAGTCTAAAGCAAAATAGCCTTAGTTAAGCAACTTCTCCAATAAAAAGACACTGGTTAATCACGTCTTAACACATCACAATTTGAAAAGAGAAAAATGCTATGTCTACACTACAGACCGCTGCAGCTGTTCCGCTGTAAGGTCTCCCGTGTAGCCGCTCTATGCTGATGGGAGTGAGCTCTCCCAACGACATAATTTAACCACCCCCAACGAGCTGCAATAGCTATGTTGCCCGGAAAGGGGCTCCTGCCAACATAGCTCTGTCCACACCTGCATTTTCGTTGGTGAAATTTATGCCAGTTGGGATGTGGTTTCTTTTACACCTCTGACCAACAAAAGTGCTAGTGTAGACATAGCCTAAGTCAAGTGTTTGCTCTAATGTATCAAAGAGATTCTGCCTCCTATGGTCTTTTGGAGAATAGCTTTCTTTCTCTGTTTATGATAATCCCACAATCCAGGGGTACGGAACTGAAACTTTGCTAGTGTTTTAGTGAGTGAAGGGAGCAGACTGGGATCATTACTCTGCATTCAAATATGTAACCATCCTTTAGTACTTTGACTTGCCATGGAGCTCTGAGGAGCTGCTTTGCGTCGTGTTTCATTACTTCAGTTCCAGCACTCTTCAATTTTACTTGGTGTTATAGCCGTAATCTCTCTAGACAATGATGGTTTTGCAGCCAATTGGTGGTGCTGTGGATATGTTGCTTTGGTGTAGCTGTTATTATGTAAAATGTGTTAGCAATAATTTGTGAATGTTGGCAACAGAATACAAAAGACTTTCAGTTGTAAAAAAGAGATAAGACACTTTGCATGTCAACTCCACTTCTCTGATCTGTGATATTTCTCCCCAGGACATACAGCACACAGAGGAATTCTTCATCAAACCTGAATCCCGAGTGGCTCAGCTGGACACATCTCAGTGGCCCTTGCTACTGAAGGTAAAGAGGATTATAGGATTCAGTCTGTATGTGTACAGATATAAAAACATTACTCCTTGTTTCACACGTGTGCCTTAGCCTGCCTGCAAAGAAAATAGCCTACATGGGAACCTAAGGCAGAGGGCAACCAACCTTACACCAGGCTCCATGACCCAAATGTTGAAAAGCGCTTTCACTCATTGTGTGCCTGATCTATCAAACTGCATATGACCTTGACTTGCCTTATAATCATCTCCACAGGATTTACACCCATTCCTTCTTTCTGCGCAGGGATGATGTTTGCCTAAGTCTTCACAGAGACCCTAGTTCTCTACACAGGCACACTGGATTTGCTCTACTTGGTAAAGCTCTGTTGTTCTACAGAGCTTTTAACCTTTGCATAGGGTTGGCCTTTTCTTGCTGTTGAAAGCATCCCTGAGGCTACTAAAAGTCTGTTTCTAGGACTCTGCCAATATGGGAGAGGCATTTTCAGTTTATCGTAATTTAAATTAGGTCAGATTATGTGGGTGGTTTTTTTTTTTGTTTTGTTTTTGTTTGATCCCCATGGAGATTTGCATTCTAGGTAAAATGGGATTTGTTTCTAAAGGCTTAGAGTATTTTGTTTACGGTACATTTTGTTTGGATTTTGTAGAACTTTGACAAGCTAAATGTGAGGACAACGCACTACACACCCCTTCCCTCTGGCTGCAATCCCCTGAAGAGAGACATCGCTGAGTATGTTAGGTATGTTTGTTGGGGGGAAAACTGTAACTTCTGTCACGGTTTACACCCTCAAAGGGTTTGGTGACTCTCCCAGCTTAAGTAGGTCTGGAAACAGTTACTTTTTCTCCACTGTTGTTGGCTATACAAAATTCCTCTTTAAATTTGGTTACCAGTCTCATACATTTCAATTTGTTCTAGTTACAGATTCTTTTGGGGGTACATTTAGAAATGAAAAGTAGAGTAATGTTATGGTGTCTGAAAGCTATATAGCTTGCCCTTCCCAGCATGGTTTACTTCCTGATACTGTATAGTGGGTATTGCTAAAGAGACACCAGTAAATGTATATCCAATGTGAAGACTTTAGTGGAGATGTTTTGCCAGGCTGGGGGAGTTTTCTCTTGTAGTATATATGATGCAGTAAGGCCAAGGTGGCAATAAGGCCAAAATTTTCAAAAACAGGAGTTTAGAGTTAGGCTGTTTAATAAAAGTCCTGTTTTAAATGTAGAGCACCTAGCAGCTCCTTTGACCTCAATGAGAGCTGTTGGTTGCTCAGCACTTTTGAAAATGCTCCACGTTGGGAGGAGCTCCTTTGGATGTAGTTTTTCTTGGCTGCAAAACGTCTCTCTTTAGAAGCCAGATGCCCTTGGTAAAATACAACGAGGATATCAAATGGCATTGGAGGTTCTAATCATCTGTGTGCTGTGTTCCAGGACAGGCTTCATTAACCTCGACAAGCCATCCAACCCTTCTTCCCATGAGGTGGTTGCCTGGATCCGGCGCATCCTCCGGGTTGAGAAGACAGGGCACAGTGGGACGCTTGACCCCAAAGTGACAGGGTGTCTGATTGTGTGCATCGAACGAGCAACACGGCTGGTCAAGTCTCAGCAGAGTGCAGGCATGTCATTTACTGAATTGGGATAGTTTACTCTCTAGTTCTTTTAAGTGGTCAGATGAAAGACTGACTGACTGCATTTTAACGATGAGCAGAGGATTCCAGTTCCAGTCCTCTAAAGGCTGCCTATTTCTAACTAAGGTTTGCTGCCCATTATGGCAGAATACGAAGTTGGGATGAACTGGAGGCCTGGTATCCTGACTTGGACTAGTGCCTATAAGCAAATTACTGTTTTCCTGAGCTTTCTGCTGTCACCATTTTTTTTTTTTTTTAGCTGATCGGGTCTCGGAACAGCAAATTTTAATTTACACACAAGAAGTTACCATTGCTTTTATTCAGACTTATGCTGTGCTGCCCTACACAATAAGTCTTGCTCCATAAATAAACCTGCAGCTTGGGTTTCTTTGTTGATAGATTCAAGGGGTTAGAGACGTTTGTGCTTGAGCCTTTTCTAAAAGTCGGTGGCTGTTAAGAAGACTGGCCTCTACAGATGTTTGAATTGTAATAACACCGACATGGTGAACAATAAAATGCAAGTGGCCACTCCTGACTACTCTTCTGTCATTCTTTCAGGCAAAGAGTATGTGGGAATCATTCGGCTGCACAATGCTATTGAAAATGAGATTCAGCTTTCCAGGGTAAGTCTGTGCATGCCTGAGCCCACGTTAGCTTCCTGCTATATTGTCTCATCAGTGTACCTTGGAGATGTGGGTAGGAGCATTCCTTAAAGAGCCATTGAGAGCATTTTGTTGCAGTAGAGGAAATAGAGTAAACAGCCTCTAATAAAATCAAAATTGTGCAGCATGACATCATGTTACTTAATCAGATGCTTAATTTGTATTGGTTCACTGTATATTTGCTGTCTGTGTTTTAGTAGGATTGTCCATAACAATTGCAATTCTCCCTTGAGTATATGGACCTCAGTCCTTGAGATGTTGAAATGCCCTTGCTGTTTCACAAATGCTGTGATTGTGCATTTTTAAAAAAACACCTTAAGTCTCCTCCTAGCAGGCATGTGGTGTATGTGAAGTGATGATGAATCCATTCTCAGAGCGCTGCTGCAATGCCCTCCCTGCAGCACGCAGATTCCTATTCTAGGGTCCCCGTGCTGTGCAGCCTCCAAATACCCGCCAGCCTTTCATTGTTCTGCTGCGAGCTGCTTGTGTGTCTGGCCAACTCTGTGCAGGAGAGGGGCAGAGCCAGCAGGGCGGGAGCCCCTCTTCATGGGGGCTCTGTCTCAGCTAAGACGAGTGATGCTGTCTGATCACATGCTGCTGCCTGGCAAAGTAGCCCCATTGGTAGCTGGGGGAGTAATTCCTATCTAGGGGCGTGCTTAAGTGGCTCAGATGGGCTTGCTTTAATGGAGTATGATCAGATAAAACATGTGATATACAATAGGGAAATTATTTTTATTGCCTAAATAGCAGCATGCTCTTGTGTCTAGATGTGCTGATGGGATGGTGTGGGTTGTGTAAGGGTGAAGTCTGATAGTTCTTCTGCTTCTCCCTCTAGGCAATAGAAACTCTGACCGGTGCCCTGTTTCAGCGACCTCCCCTCATTGCAGCTGTCAAGAGGCAACTGAGGGTCCGAACCATCTACGAGAGCAAACTGGTAGAGTACGACCCTGAGAGGAGATTAGGTAAAACAACACCTAGGTTCTCTGGTAGCACTTCAAAGCATGAAAATGCTTTGTGGACTCTCCCCGTGAGGCTCTAGTGAACACACCACTAAAGGGGACTTGCTGTTCCTCTCCCAGGTGCAGTGATGAGCAGACACTGGATGGTCCCATTTTAAAATCCAGGCTTTAACTTGTTAATTGAAACTGGTTTAAAAGAGAGATCTGTGTTCCAGACTGAACTCCAAAAGGGATGCACTACACTACAGCCATCTAAGGAAAGGAAAAGTGCCCTCTGTTGATGTTCCTGGGGAAATGTGATGAATGCCTCATTATGGTGATCTCTGATGACTGACAGAATCCCACCAGTGCGCCTACTTCCATGTGGGATGAGCTTCTTCCCGGTCCAGAGAGATGCCCTTAGACTGCCAGTCCCCACCCTCTGCAAGAGCTAAAATTGTCTTGCATATTTTCCCCATGATAAAAGTTGCTGAACTCTTGTTCCATGAAGAGCCAAATGATGCAAAGTAGATGACATTAGCACTCTGTGCAAAGATGACTTACATCTATCACCCAATACTGATGGCTCATTGGAGACACTGAACATGGAGCCAATCACAGGGCTCACTTTAATCCCTACAGGCAAGTGTGTTAAATTATGGTACCTCTGGATAGTTCAAAACTCTTCTCTCCCCTCCCTGTATTGCATTCCAGGTATCTTCTGGGTGAGTTGTGAAGCTGGCACTTACATCCGTACACTGTGTGTCCACCTGGGCCTGCTGCTGGGGGTTGGAGGCCAGATGCAAGAGCTCCGGCGAGTGCGCTCGGGAATCATGGGAGAGAAGGTAGGAGGGTATGGCTGGCTTTCTTTTGAAAGGCCCTTGCTGTAAGTTATCTTTACCCAGAGTGTTGAGTTCAGTTCAGGGCTGCTGTCCCTGTTCTGGTAATTAAACTTTGGGACAGTGAGTGGCTGGGAGTCATGTCAACATGATGGGAAGCTTTGCTTTCTGCCACTTCTGTCACTCAGCCCACAAAATGTTCACGTACTGAAAGAGCTCAGCTGCTTTCTTGTTGCACTCTGGCTTTGGGCTGTTCAGGGTATCTAATGTAGGAACCATACTTGGATTAAAATGGGCACCTCTTTGTAAGGTCCTTGGATACTGCTGTGCTGGGGGTGGTATAAAAGCCTAGGTAGACTTTCCAGTATGGGCACAGATGGTCTTGGAGTTTGGAGAAACACTTCATTTGTGGAACAAGTTCTCTGCTTTCTTTTCCTAAGAGCCTGTGAACTTAGTGCCTGTTGTACTGCATCCAGAGTACTGAGGTTTCTGATAGGGTGCTTATCGCCACTGCAAACAGCGTAGAGTGCGCGATTTGGGGCGCTAGGTAGCTCAGCCTTTCATGTGCTGATGTTTCATGTGTGGGAAGCTAAGTTCATTTGTGGGTCAGGTCATAAATGAGTTTTTATGGTAAACGTTATATACAAACTTGGCAATTTGTGGTCAGGAGCTTCCCAGGACTGGAACAGCAGAGGTCAGAGCAGAGGGGTGCTAGCAGAGTTATGTGGGGGAGTTTGCATTGCACTTACCTGCGTTGTTCATGGCTCTTGCTAATTTTATCTTCAACCCCTTTTAGGAACCCCAGAATTCATCACTGCTTTTCCTGTTTGTTTTAGCCATATTTTCTCGGTCTGATTTGATTGGGTGGCTGGGCCAAGGGTTAACATAGTGGTCATCTCTCTCTGCAGGACCACATGGTGACGATGCACGATGTACTGGATGCCCAGTGGCAGTATGACAACAACAAGGATGAGAGTTACCTGAGGAGGGTTATCTTCCCCTTGGAGAAGCTGCTGACTTCACACAAACGGCTGGTTATGAAGGACAGTGCAGTGAGTTCCTAAATGGCTTTGGAAAATGTCATCAGGTGGCGGAACAGTGGGGTGACACTAATGCATTTCACCCTAACTTCACCTCTAGCTTGGACAACTAGTAACAAATAATTTTGGTGGTGGTGGTGATCCAGATCCTCATAAACAACCACCAGCATCTCTTTCAAGGAGGCAATGTGCAGGTCTGAAAAGAGGAGCAATGGCCAAATCCTGGAGTGTGGGGGGAGACGCTCTTAAGTCATACATGAAAAAACATCATTTTATCACTGGGGCAGCACCAATTGGTATTTAGAGTGGCTGAATAAATTTGCAGAGTCAATCTTATGCATTGGTTAAGATCATGTAACTTTACATTCTCAACCAGATTTTTCAGCCATCCTCTTCCACCCTTCCAGGTTAATGCCATCTGCTACGGTGCCAAGATCATGCTTCCTGGTGTTCTGAGGTATGAAGATGGCATTGAGATTAATCAGGAGATTGTCGTCATCACCACTAAAGGGGAGGCCATCTGCATGGGTAAGAAGAGGTCAATGTTCTTCCTCCAGCCACAGCAATACAGCATCTTCAGAAGCTTGTAACAAACATGGGTGGTGGGATGGCACTCACCATGGCCGGAATCTTTCATCCATGTTTCCTGGTGGCAAATAATCGAATGCTGTCGCTGAGAGAACTGTGACTTGCTACCCTTAGAAGTGTGAGAACAACATTGCTTAGAGGTCAATGATGCCAGCTGAGAAATAATAGCTTAATTATAACTCTGGTATCTGTTACAGTAACAGATTTTTACTGCTCTATAACAATGTGGTTTTTTCTGTTTAAATTTTCAGTTATCTGAAATTATGGGAGGGCAGACAATTATTTAATGACAGACGTTAAGATTCAAAAAGTTAGCGTTACTACTGTTAAAACACATTGTCAACATATGTCAAAATGTACAAAATAAATATCCTTAAATCAAACTCTAAGTTCTTAGGCAAAGAAAGAAATCAATGGAAATACTTTTTGGTCAATTTGTATACAGTGAAATTGACATTTATTGACACTTAGCAGTAAAAGTCTAATCCTTCCAAGCCTAGCTATACCCCTCTGTTAAAATAAAAAACCTACAGAAGATAGCAAGGTTTTTGCTTGACTTCCGTTCACTCTATTCCCATGTCCTGGGCTTTCGGGCACACACTGTATGTGAAATGATGATGAAGTTTATCCATTCTCTGAGTGCTGCTGCACTGCCCTCCCTGCAGCACCTAGATGCCTGTTCTAGGGTCTCTGTGCCGTGCAGCCTCCAAATACCCTCCAGTCTTTCAGTGTTCTACTGGGGGCTGCTGGAAGGTCTGGCGGGCTGCCTGCAGGAGCGGGACAGAGCCAGCAGGGCTGGAGCCCCTTTCCATGGGGGCTCCATCTCAACCAAGACGAGTGATGCTCTCTGATCACATACTGCTGCCTGTGAACTCCTCTCTCCTAACAAATCTAGTATAAAGAAATGATGCATCTTGGATGGCTGCTGAATGGGTGTGTACTGTTATTTTGTATTAATGCCTTTTTATTACCAGATACACATGTGGCTCTGGTGGGAGCTGAGCCACATAGTGCTTGATGAGCCTGCTACAATCTTGGCTACGAGAGCCAAGTCTTTTAGCTCAGGCAGTAGATGCTCATGCTTTTAGATCTAGAGTTCCCCGGTTTGTACTTCCCCGATGATAAAACCAGACAGGGAGTGAGTTACAAGTGGAAGCCTGTCCAGGGTTTGAGTTAGATGGACTTATTGGGTAATTGTGTAGGGGGCTGATGAAAATTGTCAATCTTGGGAATGCCAACTTTGTAGCCCATCTCTGCACCACCATAATGTTGAGTCATAGGAGATTGAATCCAGTAGCTGGCCAGTATTGCTCTTTTGTGCCTCAATGTTCATTCTTTTCATTTTCCACTAATGCAGCTGTTGCCTTGATGACCACCGCAGTGATTTCTACTTGTGACCATGGTATAGTGGCAAAGATCAAGAGGGTGATCATGGAAAGAGACACTTACCCTCGCAAATGGGGTCTTGGTCCCAAGGTGAGACTAAAGGGGGTGGGAGGCTGTGTGGTGTTGGAAATGGCATTCAGCTATTGAGAAATTGGGTTCGAAGCAGCCTCTTACAAAGCTGCAGGTCCCAGATAAAGGCTTCCAGTTTGTCACCACCATTTCCAAGCTTTTGTAGTTTGTCTAAACCCTCTGGAGCCAAGAAGACGAAAAAGGCTTGATCAGCTTTGCTCCTGCTGTGAGACTGTTGGGCTCTTTGGGCTATGTCTACACAGCTATAACCATGTCTGAGTGCTGAGCTGGTTAAAAGTCTGGTTCCAGTTGGTGGTGTAGACTGGATCTTGACTAGGCTAAGCCAGGATCAGACTGCTTTTAGTCTGTGCTGCAAATCCTTCCAGGAAGAGCCAAATGATGTAAAGTAGCTGACATAAGCACTGTGTGCAAAGATGACTTAAATCTATCACCCAATACTGATGGCTCGTGGAGGAATTAGAAAGATGCTGCATCTTGAGAGGCTGAAGTAGTGTCTGTAAGAATGCTCCAAGTGCTCTAATGAAAGGTGCCATTGAAATTCAAAATAGCATTAGAAACAGTGTATCGTGGGCGTGTGGCAGAGTACTAAAGCCTGTCGAAAGGGACTCCAGGAGCAACAGAAATACTACTTCTGTCTCTCTTGCACAAGTCCACTTCCCCACTTGCCTGATGCACATGTGATTAGCATTTATGTATAGCTGGGTCTGTAACAGTAGAAGACTAACTCCAATTTGCTTGCAGTTCCTTCTCATGCAGTGACACTCTTATAAGCAAACTGGGATGGTAAAAATCTTTTCTGGAATACTACTACTTTAATTAACCAGTGTTGCAAATAGAATGACATCAACTGAGGAATAAACTCCGAAGCAACAACGATAATTTGCCATGAGCTATCAGAGGCTCCTTGAGGACATATTTGTGTGTCTCTGGCCTGGTAAAGGTTTCATTGTGAACTTGGTTCTCTTCCACAATGTCTCGTCACATGCCATGTGACTTCTCCAATTAGAAATGATAGCTGCTTTGAAGCTAGAATGTGACCTTTTCTCTCTGTATTGTCACACCAGGCGAGTCAAAAGATGATGATGATCAAGCAGGGCCTGTTGAGCAAGCACGGCAAGCCCAACGAGAGCACGCCGGATTCCTGGAAGAAGGAGTATGTGGACTACAGGTAATGCACAGTGCTTCAGAGATATGTTTGAGGGACAGGGCAGACGGGTGAATTGCATGCATTCAGTCTCTGCTGTGCTGTCTTAGGATACCACTTTTTCTTGGGGCATATTGCTGACTTCTGCTGGAAAATGTCAGTTTGGGGTACAAAAGGTTGCCGGGGTTGAATGTAGCATGTTAAAAATACTGTCAGGCAATAGAATACCTTTTCAAAGAATGTTAATTGCAATGCAGTTATTTGTCCTTCCTAGGAAGCACTGCCCTGGAGGAACCTTCCTCGGAGGTTTTTAAGGCTCGGCTTGACAAAGCCCTGGCTGGGATGATTTAGTTGGGAATTGGTCCTGCTTTGAGCAGGGCGTTGGACTAGATGACCTACTGAGGTCCCTTCCAACCCTGATATTCTATGAACAGCAGGGGGTTCTATTCTAGACAAACCAAGTGAGCAGACAGTTATCCCTTTCTAGCTTGGTATCTGTGGCTCTAGAGGGAGTCAGTCTGCCAAATTAAACAGGGAAGGCTCTGCCTTTGTCCAGCACAGTTAGGCACTGATGCGGGCTGCAGGCTTTCTGTACATCACCGAGTGTTATATAACATAGTGGTCAGAAAAAGGAGCTGTAGTGTGTCAACTGTGTAGCAGCAGGAGGCTGAGGGATGTAGTTTGGTTTGCAGCAAGCGTCTAGGAGGGAGGATAATTAATCTGAATGTATAGGATTGATCGGCAGTACTCACACATTCAACTCGGTGTTTTCCTCCTTCCAGTGTTGCTGTAAAGAAAGAGGCAGAAGCCCCAGCAGCAATGGCCGAGAGGGTATCAAAAGTAAGTATCATAGGCTACTTTCATGTGACATCCATTTCAGACCTGTGTATTGTCAGATGAACATCTCTGCCTTGGCAGATTGATCCTGGGTCTTATGTTGTTGCTTTGGGGAAGGCAGAGTTAACGTGGAGTCTCCTTTGATTTGTCCAGCAGAGTGGACTTTCACATGCAATCCATATTCTGTGTGGTTAGTGTTACATCGCCAGGCTTTGAATTTGTTGAGGGACAAGATCTGGGAACAAGAGCCCTAAAGATGGCTCAAGGCCATGACCCAGAATGTGAATGCAGAGCTGTGCCGATGGGATTCCAGAGGCCATGGGCACCAGCCCCTATCCTGGTTTGTGCAGTTTAGCCCAGTTGAAAAAGCCCAACCAGCATGTGTGTGTTACCAAAGGAAGCAGGTTATCTCTGGGGACCAACCTTAGACCTGATTTTGGGCTCTGTCACTTTGTGTACAGATGATACAGCAGAGACTGGAAGAATGTGGAGCCCTAAACTGTAGATGGAATGATGTCATGGGAAGAACATGAGGGAGGGGTGTGCCAGGGATTCTTGCAAAGCTTTCAGAAAACCATAGATAGGTTCCAGAGGATCTATAGTCTCCCTCATTACACAAGCCGTGATGAACTTGACAGCATTACCAGGAATAAGGCTCGCTCTTACCATGCTCCTGAGGGTGCAGAGGGCTAGGATTGGGAAGGCAAATTGAGGAGGTGGCCTCAGGACTATGTGGGGTCTGTCATCTGTACTCAAGACAGGCCTCCTGTTACTGCTCAGCTGGGAGAGAGCTGATCTGATCTGGCTTTACTCTTAAACAGAGAAAGCGGGAGACAGAGAGTGAAAATGAGGAGGCAGCAGTGGCGCCATCCTCCCCAGCCACTCTGCAACCAGAGGAGCAGAGCAGGAAGGAAAAGAAAAAGAAGAAAAAAGAGAAGAAGGCCAAAGAAGCTGCCGAGAGTGAAGGGGAGCTAATGGAAGTGGTAGGTAGCTGGACGGTGCAGAAGGCCTAGGAGTGTGGCTGCATTGCATCACTTGTACACCCCTCCTTGTGATACTTACAAAACCCGAGGCACCTATTCAGTTTGTCCATGTAGGTTGCTGCTTTCCCCCATCAGTATAGAGTTACACCACTGTAAGCCGCCTCAATATAGCTAAGCTCAATTGGCACCATTGTCTGTCCCTGGGGGCTGGCCTGCCATGGATAAGCAGATTAACCTGTAGGGCAGGGTGTGGAAGCGGCTGTTATGTTCAGACTGCCCTTGTTTAATGGGTTGGGAATAATTTGCCCCTGGGTAGCTTTCTCACAATTGTCTGGCAGAGATTATTGCACCTTCCTCTGGCGCCTCTGGAACCGTGCACAGTTGGAGATAAGGCACCATGCTAGATGGTGTGCCAATTGCTTCTCCAGTGTACATGCTCCTGGACTCGGTGCATTGCATGTCGGTAATTACCCTGCCAGGCAGATTTTGTTTTGGGGAGCCTTGGATGGGGGAGGGGGCAGAATGGTATGTCACTCTTCCCTCATGGATGAGAGCTCCTGGGGGGTAGTTAAGATGAATCTTTATATAAATAGTTCATTAGTCCTTGCTGAAAGGTGTGTCACAAATCAGCAGTGATTCCTTCCCAACCACCCTTCCTGAGCTCCACCTTCTCTGCAGGCCAGTGACACCAGCACAAAGAAGAAGAAAAAGAAAAAGAAGAAACAAAAGCAAGCTGAAGAGAGCTCAGAGTAAGTGGCTAGAGCCCTCCCAGCCAGCTGAGGCCACCTGCTTTGGATGGAAGTTGGAGAGTCCTTAACAAAAGCTGTTCCCCAGCAATGCAGAAACACTGACTGCAGTGGGGTGATGAGGCTCCCGATCTGTTGCTTACACAAGCAAAAGCATGTCTGCAGTGTGGCTCAGCGAGCTCACCATAAGCCTCTCCCCATCCTGTTTTAAGGGTGGCTGGAGCGAAGAATGCAAAACTTACCCACTGGACTGTGCTCTGCTAAGCTGGTTGCCTCAATGCATATAAAACTGTGTTCTCAGGGAACCAGCAGCTTCTGCTGAAAATGAGTCCTCCTAACCCCTAGTGTTTCAAGCTATCTCCACAGATGGAGATAATGCCCCCCTTCCTAATCCTGCCGTTCCCTCTGTTCGTGGGTCTGGGAGCCATTACCCTGACAGTCACAGAATGTTCTTACAGCTGAAGGAATTGGCCTGAGCCACTCGCCCTCTTGGAGCAGCGTTCAGGGTCTGGTTGATCACATCGGCTATTTTAAGTGCTTTGGTTTTAAACTTGCCGTGCGTGGCTTGAGTCTCAGCTAGCCAAGTCCCAGTGTCTCCCCAAGGAGGGTAGATGTTTTAGGTACATGTTTTCAGTTTGTGTAGCTTAGAATTTGTGCTTGAGGTTTCTCCCATTTTGTTTCATAGTGCAGGGACCTGGCTCCATTTGCTGTTCACCAAACCCCCATTTCAATGTTATGGCTGCCATGTCCACCCCTGCCTCAGCCCTCCTTTTCAGTATTGGCACCTGATCGATTCTGGGGGTTGGAATGGAGACAGAGGAGAGATCTCTGGGGCCAGAGGCCAAGTATGATCTGGAAAGTGTCAGCTGTTCATACGCTTTCTCTAAAGGGTAGTGCGTATGGAGATTGGAGGCCTTTGGTACCAGTCCTTGGCTGCTTGAAACTGAATGTGCTAAGGGCAGCAGATGGTCTGTTCCAAACAAAGCACCCAAGTTCTCTTGCTAGGGTGCCTCACTGGCAGGAGGAGGTGGCTTGCTGGTGCTACTGGGTGACTGGATTTATCCCTATACTGGTTTTACCCCTTGAGGGAGGGGCGAGGATGCTCTGCACTGAGCAAATACTATCTGCAGTAAAGGCCTAAAGGTGCCTAACTGTGTTGCTCTTTTCCCCCCGTCCAGTACTAAGGAGACGCACAGGTGGTGAGCACAGCTGGGGGCTGTGAGGGATTTAAGGGAAAATAAAGTTGTGATTTTTATTTACTTTTTATAAAAAAATAAACTATTTTTCAAATGTTGACTTGTTGCTATTCAAGATGGGTAGGAGGCAGTGCTTTAGTTAATTGGCCACCTGTGCATTGAGGTGGGGGCTACCTGCAGACAGGCCTCTTCCCCATTCTATTGTCAGTTGTGCCTCCTTTCCCATGGAGGAGGAGCTGCAGGGGAGAGGATAGTTGGTGCTGGCTGCTAGGACTGCTTGCAAAGGTAATGATGGTGCTGCTCTGGAATCTTCTAATAGGAACTGACTAAATTACTGATTTGTTTTGGTCAGCACCTACCTTGGCCAGCTTGGAACATAGGGCCTTTCACTGGAAAAATCAGTCCCTTAAAACTGCCCTGAGACTGTTTGTGAACCAACCCACATGCATCAGCCTGGCACCGACTGCTGGCTTTTGCTGTTTGGTGGGAGGGGAAGGGGTGAGTGTTATGGGTGAAGAAACCTCCTCCCAATTGATTGTGGGGAGTAATTCCAGCTTGTGCTGGTCCTGTGACAGAATAACCTGAGCAGTGATTCCCTGCCCCTTTAAGGGTCTCTATGGCATAGTCCTGTACATTTTCTGCTCTTCAAGGGCAAAGGGGGCTGCAGCTTTGATGGGAGTCTCCCAAGGGTAGGGAATATTACTGCAGTTCAGCTGGTTTCTGGGGGAGCAGTTCACTGGATAGTGACCCATTGAGCTCAGCACAAACCATAAAACCAAGCAAATGCTTCAACACACTTTTATTGCTACAGGGTGTTTCCCTGCCATGGACTAGAATAAAGGTCCCTATTGCACATAATCAGGTTTTTTTTTTGGCATCCTTAAAAATTGCAGATTTCAGACATGTTAATCCCCTTTCCTGTGCCCCTCCCTGACAATAAAGCACACAAAACGGTCCTTTGAGCTTGACATTGATTATGGTTTGAAGAACTGCTGCTCCAAGTGGGCCCTATTGTTGCTATGTAATGCAATGGATAGATAAGTGGGTCCAGCCAATCTAATTTACTGACTCCAGGGTGTTATTTTAATCATTGCTGCCTTATTGGTGTCTGACTATGGTCAGAGGTGTCAAGTGCCAACTGCACAGGCTTGAGTCAGGAGCTCCACACAGCCAGCATGGAAGACCAGCCCCTGGGGTGACTAACTCCAGCTCACAGTTAAAAATAATTAGCCCTTGTGATTATGAAGAAAACCCTTGGAATACAAGCTGTGGTAGCACTGGCTTAGCCTGAAAAAACAGCTTTGTGATTTGCACTGCTCCTGCATCTCATGCATGTGCTGACTCTGAAGACTAGGGCCAGGGTTTTCAAATGGTGCATTCTGCCCAGCTGCATCAGGTAACAATGTGCAAATGGCCAATTAAGGTTCAGAGCTCATGGTGTTAGAAGTGCCTCCATCCTAGCTTCAAGAGTGAAGCACAGCACAAAATAGCTACTACTCACAGGGTTAGTTACTAGAGCAGGCCCCTATTTTCCCCTCAGTCATTGGGAAAGCTTCCCTCTATGATCAGTAGGAGTGTTGCTGAATGGAGGGGTACTATATGGCCCCAATTGTGTAGCACTAGGGTACAGATCCTAAGATAAAATAGAATTTTTCCCCTAAACAACATCCCAGGGAGGAGGCGTCACACTACAGTAGTGCTGATGCACAAGGACTGGTGGCTTGTAGCCTGAGCTTGGAGAGCCCTGCACTCTTACCCTGGGCATAATAGACCAAATGAGACACTGGCCATAGAATGTTAAAAGAGAAGGGGGCTGGGTGTTGAGCTATGTAGATCAGGTGTTTCCCTCCATCCCATTCTGCAGGATGGGAGTAGCAGGAAGCTGCCAGGGTTGGACAACTGCTCAGTATACCCAGGAGACAGGCACCCACTGGGGTGAGCTGCAGGCCTGCTCAAAAGCTTCTTGTAGCACTTTGAGGCTCTCGTCCACACCGTTGTTGACTAGTGACAGGTCAAAGTAGTGTGCGTAGCGGCTGCAAATGCTCTCCGAATCCTTGCGTAGTTGCTGCAAGGCCTCCGACTGCAATAGAAGAGAGCCAGTGAGCTGGGGCTTGTGGGAGGGGTAGTGTGTCCATGCAGAACCCCCAGGCCCAGGAGGTTGAGGCAGGTGGGTTGCCCCTATTGTCTTGGGAGATACATGATGTACTGGGGGAGGGCCTCTGGCCCAGATGGGATATTGCACCCATCTCTTAGTGCAGTGGCTTGTACTGGTCTCAATATGAATACCCCCTTACTCCTATAGCAAGTTGCCCTTATGGCCCGTGCAGGGATACTGCATTATGCCCTTACTGCTGTGTGGACTGCAATGATAGCAGCTTATTTAGAGACTTGCAGGTGCTTCCTAAAGCTCTGGGTGCTGCATACCCAGAGCAGCACAGGGATCTGTGCATGCAGCACCACTCCCTACTTGAGAAAGCTAGCTCTGTTTTGGGTTTTCCACACACTACAGGATCGTGGCAGTCCCAGCAGAGTGCATAGGAGCCAGCTCCCTGAGCTGGCCTGCAGAGGACCTATACACCTCAATGCAGGTTGCAATTCCCATGTGAAAAGAAATCCCTTCTAGCTGGGCTACCGGGGCACTTTCAAAGCAGTGTTATACTGGTCTAACTTCCCAGATGGGCACATAGGAATAACAGCGCCTCTTCGCTATGGCGCTTTCAACGTGCTATCAGCTACAGCAGAAGGCAGCATCCCTTCGTGACTGTAGGTGTCCCTCAGCGGGGAGATTAGAGCCATACAGTTCTGCTGGTAAATTTCCCAGGGGAGACAAACTTCCTCAACCTGCCTCTGGAGCAGAGCCCCAAAGGCTGAGACAGGTGGTTGAGGGATGAGGGTGCAGGCCTGGGACTCTGGACAAGAATTCTGTTCCCAATCCAGCTGCCGGCCAGCGGCATGCGCTCAGGGAAGTTACTTCCCCTCCCTCGGTTTATTCAGACAGCAGGCTCGTTGCAAGTTGGACTATCAGTCTCTGTTCACAGCCCAACCAGGCCTCTCTGCCCCACTTTCCTAGTACCTCTACTGTGAGGGCTACCTTTGGTAATGGCAGGTGTCAGAGGTGGCTGCATGGCCCTCTGCAACACACTGAGCTACTGAAGGTATTGCAGCCTGCAGGAGCCTACTGCAGCATCCAATTAACATTGTAAATAGGAACTCCAATACAACTTCCTTCCCGATTCTCTCTTTCAGAAGGGTAGCCGTGTTAGTCTGTATCCACAAAAATGAGGAGTCCGGTGGCACCTTAAAGACTAACATTTATTTGGGCATATGCTTTCGTGGATGCATCTGAAGAAGTGGGGTTTTTCTACCCACGAAAGCTTATGCCCAAATAAATCTGTTAGTCTTTAAGGTGCCACTGGACTCGTTGTTTTTCTGATTCTCTCTAACATTGTTTTTTCGTCTCTGTCCCTAGTAGCACTTGAAATTAACATGGCTCTTCTGTTTACCAGCATCATGAGCTCAGCTCTGGGCAACAGTGAATTGCTGCAGCTTGTGCCCCTCTCTCTGTGTGGCACTCAGCAGCCAGAGCATATTTAGAAGGGAAAAATACCCCAGCTCTCTGCCCTCTGAGCTGCTGGAGGTCCTTTTTTGGCTCTAAACTCTCCCCTTAACTTACTAAACAGTTACCTGAACTGTGAAAGCAGGCTAAATATAGCACTTGCTTCACCACCCAGGGCCTGTCCCCTGTGGCAGGAGACAGTTCTTAGCAATAGTAGCTCAGCCTTGTTTCACATTGGCACCTTCAGGAACTGCAGTCAGTGCATGGGGTAGCAGGCCCCTGGAGCCAGCTGGCCCACAACTTTTTCAGCTAGCACAAGAGTTAGCCCTTACGTAACACCTTCCATTGGACAGCACTTCACAAACACAGACTAATCACCTTCCGGGTGGCACTTCATTCAAAGGCTACATCAACCCTCCAGCTGTTACAACCGCCTGATCAAACTGTCTGCAACCTAATCCTCAGCTACAGGTTGACTGACAGCCAGCCCTGTCCAAGAGCATGGACTGGGGGTCCTGTGTGGCCAGGACTGAGTTCAGGCAGGGCTTGTTTACTCCTGTAGGGAGTAAACAAGGAAAAATGGGACACCCACAGGGCGGACCCAAGGCCCCCCTCCACTCCCCCATCCCCCACACAGGCCAGCCCTAGTCCCCACTCCCACGCAGGGCTAGCATTGCCACTCGCCCCCCCCCCCCCGGCATGTTTCTCTGTGCCCCGTTAGGGGTTGCACCCCACTTTTTTGGCAAAACTGCATTTGTCCAGTTTGATCAGTTGGCAAGAGCAAACGGGACAAATGCCCAGTTTTGCCAAAAAAGTCAGGACGGCTGGGATAGGGCTTAAAAAGGGCCTGTCCCAGCCAAAACAGGATGTGTGGTCATCCTGCTCCTTTCGCCCCCTGGTTTCAATGTCCAGCTGTGTGGAATTTCTCAGCTCTGCCATTGCCACGCGGGCACCCTGCTTAGCAACAGGTTAGCTTAGCTGGGCCGCTAAGGAACCAAGAGGGTTAGAAAGACACGTGCCTGCTGCAAGCTGCAGCCTGGGAGCCCAGTGCTTTCTGAACAAATCGCTGCATAACCCCCCCTTTCATCTTCAGTCGTAAGGGGCAGCAGCTCAGTTAGCTAAATAATCAAGAGAACATACGCTGTTCCTGTGTGCTATTTGCATAGGCAAGACTATTCAAGGGCAGGACAAAGGGACCCATCCAACCGCACACCTAAGCCAGTCTCTCGTACAATACCCATCACTTGGCTGCTGCACAGCACCAGAGACTGCACCATTAAATACCCATGAGGCTGGAGAGGGGCAGCTGATCTGGGTGTTACTGTTTTGGGCTGGCTGCAGTCTAATCGGTGCGAGCCTCACTGACAGCAGGAGGGTCCCTGCAGCTAGAAACTACTGCGGGTTGACAGTGCTTTGGCTCTAGGAGAGTCCTGGGCAGGGCAAAGTCAGAATCCGTAAATGCCAGGGCCCCTTAGGGAGCCATTTGTGGGGTGGTTGGTGTCCTTGCCTATTGGAAACTCAGCACCTTAGCTGGGATTCATACGTGAAGGAGGGGTTTCTGGGGAGAAACTGCTGACAAACCCCCTGCCCGCACTGCCCCATCCCCTGTAATTCCAGTCCTGAGATAGCCCTCCCCTCCCCAGTTCTGGGGGGGGGGGGGGAGGAGAATGAAGCAGCAGGGGGCACCCTCCCCAGCTATGCTGCTGTCTGGGGTGAAGGTCTTGCTGCCTTCGCTATTCCTATAGGCTTGGAGGCAGCCAGGCGCTAGTGGAGAGCTATGGAAGAGCACACGTGCTGGACAGTCTCACTCCCTCAGCTCCAGCCACCACAATCCCTCTAAGAGCAGAGGAAGCAGCCCTGGGGGAGGGGCAGGTTTGCCTCATCTCACCACCTAAGGGATTCATTTTGCAAAGTCACTTGTTCAAGTCCAGCAGCCACCAGCATGAATGGGGAATCAGCTCCCAGCCCCCTACAAACAGCTGCTGTGCCCCCAGCTGGGAGGGGTGGGGGCGGAGCGCACACACGCTCACAGCTTTGGAGTTACCTGGTGCTCTCAGGGAGGTTTAAGTTTGGGATATTTCAGATGAACTTCACTCCTCCAGCTGGGAAACCCAGACACCCGACAGGGAACGGGCAAGCTGGTTTCTGAACGGGACAGGAGAACAAGTCCCCAGGGAGGAAAGGGAACAGAAACAATTGCTTGGGGTGAACCGTACCTTTGGGGTCCCACTGCTGTGAGGAAAGGTCTCTTCATCCCCCCGGCAACAAGCCACAGTGGCCACGGAGGGGTGCAAAGAGGCAAATGTGCGTGGGGGAGTGAGTATGGGAGGACATCCGGGCCAGATGCGCTGGCCAGCGTCACGCCTGCGTAATTGCTCCACCTCCCGCCACACCACGACACTCACCTGACTGGCCTGGTCTGTTGGCGCGATGAAAACAATGAATGGGGACAGCTCGGCAGTGCGAACAATCTTCAGAGTCTGCAGATGGAGGGCAGGGAGAGAGAGGGATGAGGAGCAAACGGAGCACAGCTGCTCTTCAGGGCAGGGCAGCTCCGCTAGGAGCAGAGCGCAAGGCCCTTCCTGCCTTCCAGAGCACTGCCAGCTCTGCTGGACCCTGCTGGAGGCCAGGATCCCCAACATCACACCCAGGGCATCTGCCAGCCTCAGAGGGAGGTAGACAGCTGGCCACAGAGAGGTGGGTCAAAGGCTGGCTCTGTGGGGCTGGAGACAGCTTGCACTGCTGCTGCCAGAGGCCTTTGGGCTCCAGGCCTGTCACATCGGCTAAGTATAAATCCACTTTAAAAATCCTTAGCTCGGGATGCAGCAAAGAATTCCGACTGCATCCTTCCAGCAGCTGCCATGTGGATGCTGGCCTGGCTGCAGGAGCAGCTGATGTTCTGCTAGCTAGACAGTGCCGACCTGAAATAGTGACACCTGAGGGTAGAGCAGAGCTAGTGTGATCTACCTCTCCAGGCCAGCAGCTAGTGACCTCTGCAGCTGTAATTATCCTCTCTCATCCCATTGGAAAGTTCTCAGGGACCCACAGAACAGCCTTCATCATTAAGGGCTGGAACAGTCAGCTCTGACTGAGGGGAGAGGTTTGCCTCCATGCCCTCGTCAGCTGAAGGCAGTAAGTCGCCAAGTTGGGGCGCAGATTCCCCTGCCGTTTCCACCGTGCCCTGGGGATGGATATGCCAATCCCGTGGCAGCTTTGCCATCTGCCTTTATGCTCCGCTTCTAGGAGGCGGGTGCTCCCTGGAATATCTGTGCAGCAGGAAGGTGTGGGGCCATCAGCAGCGGTCTCGCCCAAGGTATCTGCCCAGTACGGGGGCACTCGGTGGAGTCCATCCATTGGTTTTATCGCTGTGGTTATTTTCCTCCCTCCATGCCCTTCCCCCCTGGCTACCAGCAGGTGCATAGCTCAGTCCAGCTCAGTTGCCCTCCACAGCGTCCCACTCTCCTAGCCAAATGGCCTGCTCTTTCACTGCCTTGCCTTTTCACCCAGCCCCTTCTTGGGTTATACTTTAAGGGATACATTTTTCACCCAGCCACTAACATTATGCCCGCGAGTGATGGGCCCCAGCGTTCTGCCTGCGCAACTGGTGGGCACAGTTGGGAAGACAGGGTTAAATCCTCCTTTGCACCCCCAATTGCATGTGCAGTTAAATGTGGGTGCAAAGCTGCCCCCGCAAATTTTAGAGGTGCTTTTTCCAACTCTGACCCCTAACACGCTGCCCCTGTCCCTCCCCCTCACCTGGGGCTCAATGTCCAGGATGGCGATTTTATCCTGCTGGTGGATCTGATGCACTGTTTCAAACTTGGTACCAAATATGTTTCCCTGGTAGCTCCCGAACTCCAGGAACTCATTGGCAGAGATGTCCCTGGTCATTTCCTCAGTGGAGATGAAGTGATAGTCCTTCCCATCCACCTCGTTCTTCTTCTGGGGGCGTGTGGTGTCTGGATGGGCGGGAGAGCTGGGTGACTGACCCGTGCTGCCACCCCACAAGGGAACCAAAGGGGCCAGCCAGCTTGGGCCAATGTGACTACTGAGCAGGAAGGCTGTGGAGAGGGTGGCTGCTGTGCCATTCTGCACAATGGGAAGCCTAATGTGTTCCCAAAAGTGGGGCTCAGCTGGACCCTAGGGAGGCCAGGAGAGGGGAGCCAGAGGAAGTGAGCAGTTGGTGAAGAGAGGCAGGGCCTTCACCAGCTTTAACCTTTTGCTGCTTGGAACAAGGCTGGGCAGAGCATGGATTTGCTGCCTATAGTGCTTTGAAAGTTGCTCAGGTGAGGTGATCTGGAGCACTCCTGCCTCTCAACCTCCTTGCCTATGTCAAGGGCCCCCCAGCCCTGCCCCTAGCGATTAGTATGGCAAAGCTGGTGTTATTCATTGGCCAGCCAAAGTCACTGTAAGCTGCATCACTTGGGAACAAGGGCTCATGTTAGAGCCTGGAATGGACTGTAACTCTTTGGACAGTTAAAGTTCTATTGGTAACAAAAATCAGGCCCAGCAAGACCTATGAGGCCTGCTTTGAACCTGACTAGGTTTCATGTTGATGGTGTCCTTTAAAGCCAAGGGAAAACACTGACCTACCAGCTCTGAGGCCAGGCTCCTGACACCTCTTGTTCTATTTCTCCGCTGCTGGCAAGAGGCTCCAAAAAGCCAAGATAGCCCAATGAAAGCAACCTGCACCAGCCTTTGCATGCACACCAGGCCATTCCCAGTATGGGCCTAGCTGGATGTGCTCTTCTCCAGCTGGCCTTGCCATGTTTTCAGCACCGGCACTGCTCAGGAGTTATGGCAGGAACACGGGGTAATCAACCCAATCGCTTTCCCCGATGGCAAGGAAAGATGCCCCCGGGACAGACAAGCTGCCATCTTGCTGGAAAGTACAAGTGTGCTGGAGACGCTGCTGCCTTGGTCGAGGCAGGCCCCATTTACCCAGCATGCACCCTGTGGGACTACAACACCTTCCCTAAATATGACTGCGGGCAACCTCCAGAGCCACTTTAGCAACACTAGCAAAACAGACCAGACAAAACTCGCTCAACGCAGTGGGTCAGAGACATCCAGTGGCAGGAGCTCGGGTCTGATTTCAAGGCTGATTGCACTGAGGTTGTGCACTCCTGTAACTCAACACATGGGGCTGAAACATTCTCTGATGGCATTTAGGGTGGTCCCGTTACTCTCGTGAGTCACTCCAAAGGAGCATCAATCACATCTTCCTGCCACTTCACCCCCACAGGGGTTCTGCATGCACCACGGACAGTACAGAAAATCTGTTTTAGGAATGCCTTAGAGCTTCCCTATTTTAATTTTTTTCAAAAAAACAGGGACTATTTTTGGTATCCTTCGCCCAGTGCTCAGTGACCATGAGCTCAGACTGTCCAGGGCTCAAAGGGAGTTGGAGCAATCTCTGAACATTCCCTGAAACAGCTTTTCTGCACCTAAAACCCCCCAGCTCTATGCAGTCTTCAGGCAAGGCTAGGAGTGAGTGCTGGGAAACTGGCCTTCCTAGGGCTTTAAAATGGCTAGTTCTGGTTGTAGAGCCCGACCCCACTGTGGGTGACTACTTACATGGAGCCGGATACCCAAACTTCTCTGGGTTCTTGCTGAGCAGGGCATTCTTAATGTGGCTACGACCTACCCCGCTTGCACCTGTGCAAGAGGATGAGAGAGGGATGGGAGATCAGTGCCCCCCCCCCCCGAGAGAGGCTTTTCCTGTGCTGGAGAAGGGGAGAGGGTGATCACAGGAGCCATGTGGGGGGAGTAAGAGAAGAACCCCTATTCATAGGAAGGACCTCTGGCAGAGAGAGCGGGTAGGGATGGAGCAGGATGAGCTAGCCATGGAAATTCCATCCCTGTTGGGTCGCTGAGCCCATCCACCAGAAGGAATGGGATAATGGCTGCCTAGGCCAGATAGAAGAGCCTCTTCGCCCCTTTGGAACGGACCAGACGCTGCAAAATGGGAGACCCTGTTCTTTTCAATACAGCCATAATGCAGGGCAACGCACTTCCAGTCCCAGAGCCAGCCCACTGCTTCTCCATGGACTGGGCCAGGCACAGCCTCGGCACTGCCGAGTTACGTCTGGATCCTCCTAGGTGCCTAATGCCCAGTGAAACCAATAGGAGTTAGGCACCAAAATACCTTTCAAGATCTTGACCTTAGTGTCTACACAGTGGCACTCAGCAACGTTAATCCAAATTACCGAAAGGAATGAATTTAAAATGAAATAATTCAACCACATCAAATCCCCGTGTGGACTCTCATTCAGAATTAGAGTGGTCTTAATTAGGTTTTGTTTAAAGTGAATTAAGATAAATCAAATTAAGGCCACTTTAATTCTGAATGAGAGTGTCCACACAGGGGTTTAATGTGGTTTAACTAACCCAATTTAAAAGCTAATTTAGAATAACTTTCCTGAGTGTCCCCATGTAGACATGCCCTGAGTCTCATACCAAGGGGTCTGTGCCATGCAAGGCTCAGGACAGGGATTGATTCCCACCCTTAGGTTTAAACAAGAGGCAGCTTTATCATTCTTTAAAAAAACACTGCATTGTTTTTGAAAACCCACCCCCTCCCACCCAGGGCTGGCTGCTCCTCCTCCAGGTTCCCTCTGCAGCACAATTCACACCATGACTCGGGTACTGCTAACAGTGCCAGTTTCTAGATGCCCGAGCTGGCCAGCACAGCTGTGCCTGAGGATGCCAGTTCAGCTCTTGAACGAGGGGATGGTAACTTCTACTGCACAGCCAGCAGGGGCAGCTCAAAACAGGGGGAGAGTGGGGGTTTGGGGTGACTCTTGCAGCACCCCAACCCCCCGTCCCCCCCCACAAATCTCTTTAGAATCCAGAGGACTCTCAATCCGAGGAGAATGCATTTTATTCAGGCCAGATGTAGGTCATAAATCCACCAGCTGATGTTGTATTAAGGATCAAGGGCTTGATCCAAAATCCATTGAAGTTAATGGAAACACTCCCATTGCCTTGGGATCAAACCCGTGTTAAAGGAATAACTGACTAACCCTCAGCCAGCAGGGTTCCCCAATGGAAATGCTCTATCAGGTTCCGTTCTGTCCATTGTCAGGGTCGGGGTGGAGAAGGACAATGGCCAGAAAAGCACAATGCGTACAGAAGGGGCAGGGCCATACCTATCAGCACCAGGGTCTTCCTCTTGAAGGCTGGCAGCCTCACCACCTCCTCATACGAAATCACATCCAACTGGTCGAAAACTGGGAGGAGAGAGGGGAAATGGAACCAAGAGAGCATCAGAACCAGTCCAGATGCAAAATCAGTGCACATCCTTGCACAGGGCCGCTGGGACGTATTGGCATCGATATATAATATCACCACCACCACATAGCTCTCATATTGCACTTTGCATCAGTAGATCTCAAATCACTTTACAAAGGTCAGTATCATTAGCCCCCTTTTAAAAATGGTGAAACTGAGGCACAGAGAGGGGAAGTGACTTGCCTTTTGGGGGGCACAAAACTATTTCCAAATTCAGTGAATAGTCTGGGCTGGAAAAAAAAATGGAGATTTTTTAAAGTCAAAATGAAATGCTTTGACTTTTCCTTCCAAAATGGCATTTCATTTCAACATTTAGCTAAATTTTAAACGAAAAAAATTAACAAAAATTAAAAAAAGATCGTGCCTGAGAGAGAGAGAGCGCGAGAATGAAAAGCACTCTAAAACAATAAACCCAAAATGATTTTTCCCCTGGCAAAAAAACCCCCAAAACATCAGACTTGCTTCGAACCAATCTGATTTTTTTTAAAGATTTTTCAGTTTGGCCCATGTACCAAAAAAATCAATTATGCACTCAGCTCTGGTCCTGAGGCTCTCTCCTAGGTCACACTGCATCCCTTAGAAACTCAGCCACAGAGAGAAATCAGCAAATGGTAACTTACTTTGGGGATTAATATGGGGAAACTGTTGTGAGAAGGTGTGAAATAAACAGCTGATCCTCTCCTCTCCCCATTCAGTTCTGCCCAGGAGTCTGGACTCCAGAGGACCCAAATTGGAAGCTGCAAGACTAACTCTTAGCTGAAGGAGTTATGGGGATCTTAGTTTATTCCCCTGAGGGAGTTGTGGGGATCTTTATTTATCCCCTTGATTTACTGCCCTGTTTGTCACCATCTCCCAGACTGCAGGCCAGGCCAGGTGCCAGCATGTCCCCAGGCTCTGGTCACACGACTCTCCACCCCCCATCACTCAGTTCTCTGGGCATTGTTGGCACTGGCTTATTACGGGTCAGTTTCAGGTCCTGGTGCCTTAAAACCTCACTAGTACAAGCAGATCATCACTTAACCAGCAGGGTTTGTTTGCTTGGTTTGGCTTGGCTGGGCTTCTGGATGAAGGTGGTGAATAGGGAGGATTCTCCCTGATTGAGGAACAGATTTCTGATCTGTTACAAAGTTTTAAGAAGAGGTGAACTGAAAACCACTGATTTGCCAGGACCTGAGTGCAGGGTTTGTGTTTGTCCTGATGCGTCTGATGATGAGGGCCATAAATTAGCTCAGGGCCAAATTTCCAAGGTCTCCACTCCTACAGTCAAGGCAGCTCAGCACCCATTTCAGCACCAAATAAGGACCAGGATTTTAAAGACGCTCAGCACCCATCATGTACCCACTGTGCCAAACTCTGGCCCTGGCTGTGGGTGCTGAGCCCTTCTGAGCATTCCAGCCAGAGAGCTGCTTCCCGGTGCCTTGTGCAGAAGGGGTGTAACGTGTCACCAGGGTGTCATGGCAATGCTCGGGTGTAAACGATGACACAGTGCAGGGGAGAATTGGGCCCATAATTCCTAATGCAGAGCAGAGACCTGACCTTCTGGGAGAGCAAAATCCCAGGGGAGAGGGAGCAAAGCAGGCAGAGATCAGGTGGGGGAGCCTGCAGGAGGGGCTGGGCTGGGGACCATCCCTCTGGTAGGACAAGAGGCTTCACATTATCTTTAGTTATGGATCTCTGCCCATCCCTCCTGAACTGGGATTTAACTCTGCACCCATCCTCAGCTAACGCACTTGGGCCTAGAACAACTGTAAAAAAACACAGATGGCTCTTTTACAAAGCTGAATACCTAGTGGCAGCACCCCCCTCCTCCCTTGGCACCAGCCGCCGGCAGAGTTGTTCCTACATAGCTCTTTCCTTCCAGTCCGGCTGAGAACACCGCTTGTTTAAACCCAGATGACATCCTCTCTCCTCCCTGTGTACACCCCAAGTCCACGCCTGTTGCGACTCAACAGCAGCAATGTAAACAAGCCAGCGGGTCGGGCTCTTTGCAGGCTGCTTTGCAAACAGGAGGAGAGATCTCCGAGGGGAAAATAATGGAGAGTCATTTACCAGATGACTCAGGGTCATCTGACTGATTTGTACCCGAGGGGGCTCTTCCAGGAAAGCCAATGCCAGACGCGGCGCTGGGCAAGATGCCTTTCCTCATGCTACCCTGGGAGTAGGTGTGGTAGCCTCCAATAAGGAGACAGCTACCAGAGCGCGCACTGCCATGCTGTGCAGCTCTGACTGCACTGTTCCCAGGAGGGGGAAGTTAAGAGATCCCAGGAAAGACAGTTTTCACATGACCAGGGGAGCCTATTGCAGAGGACATGTGGATCACAGCCCCGTCACCAGGTTGCGGCACCCTGCGTACGCTGTTCAACCGGTGAAACGACCTCACAGAGCCCAGTGGTTGGTCTAAGCACCAGAGTCCTGCGAGCGCCCCTGTCCTGCTGCCCGATGGGAAGGTGCATTGTGGCGACAGAGCTGCCAGGGTTGATCCTGAGCAGCAACAGACAGGGGCTCATGACAAGGAAGGGGGCCGCTTACTTGAGCTGTGCTTGGCCAGGTATTTGTCTTTGCACTTCTTCTTTTTCCCGAAGGGGCTGCAGCTCTGGGCTTCGCTCTGACTGCACTGGGTTGTACTAGCCACACGCCTGCAAGGGGAAAAACACATGAGTGATGGAGGGGGTCAGATCAGGTCAGGTTTTGGTCCAAACCTAGCGACCCCCAGAAGCATCAGGATTTCCTCAATGCACAAGAGTAAGGAAAGGATACTCAGGGCTCACACCAAAGGGGTCAGAGAGTATCTCCTTGCCAGATCTAGTGTCCACACCAAGGTGATCAGGGCAGCACCAGGCTAGACCCATGGGTCACTGTGGCCAAGGTCAGAGGGCGCCAACAGCCCATCCCAAAAGACACAGTCTACCTAGCTCTCTGCACTGAGTAGCTGGGCCCGGCTTCTCCAAGGAGCAGCACCTACACCGGTCTAGGGTGACCAGATGTCCCGATTTTATAGGGACAGTCCCGATTTTTGGGTCTTTTTCTTATATAGGCTCCTATTACCTCCCACCCCCTGTCCCAATTTTTCACATTTGTTATCTGGTCACCCTACACCAGTCTCATCTCTGAAACATATTCCACATGGATGCAAGGCGGAGATTCTGAGCTACCAGCCCATGGGCAGCTCCCATGCTGGAGATGCAGCACTTGGAGCTGTGCACAGAGCCTGCAACTGGGAGTCCCCCAGCCCCCCTTTCTGCTTTCACCAGCAGCTCTGGAACGTACCATTCTTGCAGTTCAGGGGAGGGGATCAGCCCTGCTGACTCCGTGGAGGACCCTTCTACCCGGCCCTGCCACCAGTTGCTGTCATCCTTGTTGATTATTTGGATGATGTCCCCGGTCTTGAACTTCAGCCCCGCCTCCTTGCAGGGGATCAGGCTGTCCATCTTGGGATCGTAGTCAAACTGGGCCCTCATGAACATCTGGAGAAGAGGCCAAAGGTCAGCCGGCCAATGCCACGTGCTTTCGGCTCTGCCATTGCTGCTACGCGGCTCCTGTGACGTCCCCGAGCAGTGACCATACAAGATGGGGTAAGAAATTAACTGGCCCAAACTTGAGCTGCAAGTATAGGGCACATCCCCATCTAGTCTCCCCTGTCCCTGACCCCCTTTTCAGATCTTATCTGCAGACCTGATGAGCTAGAAGAGATGCCACAGCCTAGAGCGAAGGGGCCCAAGCACTTAGAAATACCAAACGTTAGATTACGTCAGGGGTGGGCAAACTACGGCCTGCGGGACCGTCCTGCCAGGTCCCCGAGCTCTTGGCCCGGGAGGCTTGCCCCCAGGCCCTACCCTGCTGTCTCTTCCCCTTCCCCCTCGCCGCCTCAGCTCACTCGCTCCGCTGTCGGTACAATGCTCTGGGCAGCAGGGCGGGGAGCTCCTGGGGCAGCGCAGCTGCAGAGCCCGGCCTAACCCGGTGCTCTGTGCTGTGTGGTGGCGGCGGCGGCAGCGACAGCGTGGCCCGGCTGTAGCGCCGCCAGCGACCGGTGCTCCAGGCAGGGAGCAGGGGGGGGTTGGATAGAGGGCAGGGGAGTTCGGTGTAGTGGTCAGGGGGCAGGGATGTGGATGGTGGTCGGGGGGGAAACATGGGGTTGAATGGGGGCAGGGGTCCCGGGGGGCAGTCAGGAAGGAGGGGGGGTTGGATGGGGCGGCAGGGGTTCCGGGGGCAGTCAGGGGACAGGGAGCGGGGGTGTGTGGATGGGGCAAGGGTCCCAGAGGGGCCATCAGAGAACGGGGGGGTTGCATGGGGCCATGACCCCCTCCCCTAACCAGCCCTCCATACAATTTATGAAACCCGATGCGGCCTTCTGGCGCTCTGGCCAAAAAGTTTGCCTGCCTCTGAATTACTTACACACTCCCCCAACCCCTTTGGCCAACCCAATGGTCAGTCTGAGGGGCTTTTAGATCCACCCAAAATCTAACTCCATGTCTTCCCCTGGCCATCCCAGCAAATTGTGTGTCCTCTGACTTTGGGAATCTCTTGGGGAAGGAGGAATGGCATCATCCTTGGGGAAATCTAAGAGTCTAGACAGCAAGTGTAAGGCAAGCGCTACCAGAGGTCAGGGCACAAACGGGGAAAGACTCCATCTCCTGGGGGTGAACTGTGGTGAACAGGTAGTTAAAGGTGGGATGAGCATGGCAGAGGGAAGAGAGAGCCTTGAACTGAACATTAACTGCTACAGCCATTGCTTCAAAACAGGACCAATTCTCCTTCCCATTTCTAGTCCCTCCAATATGGGATGAGCCGGAGCAGATCAGGACCTTGTGGTCTAGTTGTCTCAGGTTTTCACCCTGCCGCTGGTCAGTCCCTCCACACACGCTATTTTCCCTCTCCCAACGTTAAGGCTCTCACTATCAATCAGAGCTAGTCCAAAACCTAAACGCAAGTCACTGAGAGCAGGGCCTAGACAGGGTTACTTGGCCTGGAGCCAGCCAGACAAAGTGCAGTAACCCAACAGCAGGAGGGACCAGGGGAATTCCTCTATATACCAAACATACACAGCTCTCTAGCAGGCACGGACTCAGCTATCTGAACCGAGGGGGCAGGGGAGCTGGCAGCCATGATACCATCGCTTAGGAGTCAAGTGCCAGAAGCCACAGAACAGACTGGTAATGTCTTCAAGCACAAAGGTCTCAGCATGAGCGTCAATTTGGGGAGTGGGGGCTGGAGTGGTGAAGTTTCCAGGGAAGGGAATGACCTGATCCCTCATAACCAGACATCTTCTCCAGTCCAGCCCTGAGGCAGCAGAGACTCTGCCCAAGGCAGCAGGTCTCAGAGGCTGGGTTTTTGTGTCCACACCTCCCCAGGAGCAGCGGTTTTCCTGGGATTCTACCTTTGCTGAGTAAACTTCTCCAGCTGCTCCCTGGCCACCTCTAGGAAACTCACACCTAAGCTTCACAAACATGTCCATCACACTGGCTTTAGCAGGCAGGGCAACTCAGAGGGCTACCACTGGGGACCTTTACAGATAGAAAGGGCTCAATGTATGAGTACGGTCCTGTACCGCTGCCCATACCAGCTCCCTGCATCTCTCCTGTGGCATGTCTGTTCTGTGAACATTGCATAGCCCAGAGCAACTGCAGAAGAGGAAGTTCAAGTACCATTGGTAAGCTCCACCCACAGGAGCTTTCTGGCTGTGAGAAGAAGCTGAGCATAGCTGGGATTTTGCCATTGAGGGGCAGCTTTGCAGGCACCAGACATTTGGTCACCATGCTGAAAGGTTGTGGTAGCTAAATCCACGACCCATGGAAGACCTGAAGTGTGTGATCAGCATACCCCATGATCACAGCTTGCATGTGGAGATGCTCATCGCTGAGTGGCAAAGCCGTGAGCAGGAGATCTCTACTGGCCAAGGGAGGCCCCTTGTTTGAGATCAAATTTACCTTCATTCCACACAAACATGGAGTTCACTCAACTGTTATTGCTGCAGTTATTTGCCCTGGGAATGCAAAGCCATGACACTTAGAAAGTTTGCGCACGATACCAAGCTGGGAGGGGTTGCAATTACTTTGGAGGATAGGATTAAAATTCAAAATGATTTGGACAAATTGGAGAAGTGTTTTGAAGGAAACAGAATGAAATTCAATAAGGACAAATGCAAAGTACTCCATTTAGAAAGGCACAATCAGCTGCACACATACAAAATGGGAAATGACTGCCTACAAAGAAGTACTGTGGAAAGGGATTGTGTCCATCTTTGGGCACCACATTTCAGGAAAGATGTGGACAAACTGGAGAAAGTCCATAGAAGAGCAACAAAAATTATTAAAGGTCTAGAAAACATGACCTCTGAGGGAAGATTGAAAAAAAAAAAAAGGATTTGTTTATTCTGGAGAAGAGAAGACTGAGGGGGGACATTATAACATTTTCAAGTACATAAAAGGTTGTTATAAGGAGGAGGGTGATAAATTGTTCTTATCCAGTGTGGACAGGAGAAGTAGTAATGGGCTTAAATTGCAGCAAGGAAGGTTCAGGTTGGACATTAGGAAAACTTCCTAACTGTCAGGATAGTTAAGCACTGGAACAAATTGCCTAGGGAGGTTGTGGAATCTTCATCACTGGAGCTTTTTAAGAACAGGTTAGACAAACACCTGTCAGGGATGATCTAGTTATTACGAAGTCCTGCTTTGAGTGCAGGGGACTGGACTAGACCTATGAGGTACTTTGCAGTCCTACACTTCTACGATTCTATGATGTGGAAGCAGAGAACAGTGCAATTCATGCTTGGAAAAGAAGCTACTCCCACATGCTGTCTGGAGTAAAATATTCTTTTTTGTCCCATCTTTAGACCATGCCAGATCAGAGCTCTAACAATCAGGGCCTTGGAGATCTTCCTTCCTGAGCAGGATAAACCAGACTTTCTTTGCAACATATTAAAATAGGGGTTGGCAAAGTACTGTCCACGACTGTCCTCACTTTTCCTATGGAGCTGTGGCCTGTGAGATAACAGGTCCCAGCATGTAGTAAACACAGTATCCCTTTGTTGCCAGAAGGCCAGAGTTCTGGGGATCAAGATGGAGTATTGCATGCTGGGACTTGAAGACTCTGTGAGCCACATCTTGCATTAAAGACCATAAAGGGTCCAACTGCCCCTGCAAGTGAGGCTCTCAGACTCCAGATTTGCTAGTGCAGCTCCCTCCATTGGTCAAAATTTGGATGGCCCAACCTGAGGAGAGACTGTAAAATACCAGTGACATTGGCCAATCTCTTGTTAACATAAGAGCTCGGCAGGTTGTGACACCCTGTACCCCATGTTCACTACTTTCATATGGCTATAATATATTTTGTACAAAGTATGCCTTGTGCGGTATCATTTGAAAACTCAATCTGCTGAATATTATTATCCTGTTGAAATATGTGTAAGATCACTGCATGTCAAATTATGAGATTTTGCTCTATGATTGTTACTGAAATATGTTGTAGTTCTGGGTAATGCCTACAAACTAGTTTCTGAGAGACAAAGACACACCGAAGTATCATCATAATCAAATGAACCCTCAGGGACTATCACCTAGATAAGCAGCCATCCTCTGGTAGGAAGGAAGGTGTAAGCGAGAACTTTACATATTAGCACTGGAAAACAATTGGCGGTCCCATGTAAACAGACTGTCGCCTGACTCCCAGCTGGGGGCAATCCTCAAATAAGGGGAAAAAGGTGTAAGAATGGAGACCAAACAACACACAAATTACCTCCCCTTGCCAACTTACATCTCTCTGCTCAGAACATCAATGAATACCTGAAGAACACTGAATTAAGGGGAGTGGTCCCAGGCTGAAAGGAAATCAAGTCTGTGAACTGAGAATTACTTGCAGCATCTGGCGCGATGAGAATGATATTTGCTTCTAATCTTATTTACCTTGGTAAAGATTAGGAATTAGCTTAGTTTTAACTTTTTATTTCTTTTGTAACCAATTCTAACTTTTATCCCTTATCACATATAATCACTTAAAATCTTTCTCTAGTTAATAAACTTATTTTATTGTTTTATCTAAGCCAGTGTGTTTGTTTGAAGTGTTTGGGAAACCTCTACTTGGAATAACAAAGGCTGGTGCATAAATATTACCCTTTGTTAGAATGTCAGACTATCTATGAGCTTATACTGTCCAGGGGTCTACCGAGCAGTATAAAATGCACATTTCTGGGGAGATATGCAGTATCACCCTGTATTTATTCATGGATGGTGGGAGAGCATTCACATATACATCTGGGAGTGATTTTATATGCCAGTGGCTGTGCGTGACCAGGCCAGGAGTGGCTGTTCTGACAGCAAAGCAGTGTAAAAGGCACCCCGGCTAGAGAGTTAAGGGGACACAGCATTTCAGCAGTCCAGATTGTACCCTGGTGAATGTCACATGGGGCTGAAGCTCCCAGCTCTCTTAACCCCCAGTTGTCCAAAGATGGGGGCGGGGTGTGCGTGTACGTATAGAGATATTTAATTCTGCTTTTGAAATAACCTAACTGCAAAGTGGGCTCAAATCAGAGCATTGGATCTAAACACCTCAAACATTATCTGGGGCCTCGTTCAAACAGGAATTGTTTTGGGGCAGTTCTCTGGCCTGCATTACGCAGGAGGTCAGAGTAGACAATCACATTCCAATCTTCTGCCCTTGGAATCTAGGAAGTGAAATCCAGATTTCAACTGCATGTTGGACCCGTCTCCCCCAGAGGTGTAACCCAAATCCCAGCGGTGGAGTCTGAAATCTAGGCCAAGTCTGAATTTCAGAGCTTGCCTCTAGCTCTGGTTATGAGGTTACAACAGGTGGGACCTGTTTGCTCTTATCCTCCCGTTCAGATCATTCATGGTGGTTTAGTTCAGAATGGAACCACCCTTGCAATCTCTGAACAGCAATCTGATTGGTGCAAACTAATTGCTCCGCTTGAGGTTGGCTGCTTACAAGATATGGGGGAGGAGCTTGGGCAGGGGCTGGGAAGGAATGGTTTAGCTCCGCCTCCAGACAATGCAATGGGATTTGCTTCACACTGTGTAACCCTATCAGTCATACAGTGAAGTGACAGCAACCGTGAAGGACAGAGAGACTGATCACAATGGGCAGGCAAAATTGAAGTCATTAGGCTTCCTAGCACTGAAATGTCACAAGGAAAGGCAGCAAGAGTGTCTGTGCATGGCCGTTTATTGGCATAGACTGCTCCAGAACCCCAGCCAAAATGATATAAGGGAGAAATGAGAGAGATAAGGTGGGGAAGGAAGGGAATATCTTTTATTTGAGTCACTTGTTGGTGAAAGAGACAAGCTTTCAACCTCACACAGAGGGAAGAAAATTTCAGTCTTCTGGGGAACAATGTCTCAGTGAGGAGAGTTTGTTTGTGCAAGATACTGCCTGGTGTCCCCTCTCAGCAGAGGTGCCTGCACATATCTGTTATTAAGTCAGTGGCACTGCAGCTGGTTTTGACAGCATCAACTAGGATAAGTCTCTAGCTACAGAAGGGAAAAGAGGACAGAGCTTAATAAATAAGCAGAGATCAGAGCTCATCCTGGCAGGAACAGAGACGAAGGGGAGAGATGGGGAGGAGGAGATATTTACCTTTCACCTCATTGCTTAGAGAAACAGACTCCAATGGGAGATATGTGACAAAGGAAGAATAAAGATGAAATACGGGAAAGGGGGGCAGAATGGCTCCAGGGCCACGTATGTTAATTAAAAAAAATAACCTCACCCAATCATCCTTTTTAAGAAGAATCTGCCTGAGCAGAATATTTGGCTCTGGGCAAATGGTGGCATAGAGTCAGGTCAGGGTGTTTCATCTTGCTAGTTTTACTGAACTAGCGTGACCAGATGTCCCGATTTTATAGGGACAGTCCTGATATTCAGGGCTTTTTCTTATATAGGCGCCTCTTACCCCCATCCTGATTTTTCACATATGCTATCTGGTCACCCTATACTGAACTAACTGGAGGTCAAAGAGAGAGAAAATGTTACGTTAACTCCTGCAACTCAAACGTATGGGATGTGAAAGAGGTCAAACCACTGGACACACACAGTCGCCACCTCGAAAAGCAGTTTTCATGTGATGAATTTAGTTTAGACTCATTGCATGGAAGAGATACGCTTTTGCCATCTGTAACTAGATAGATTCTGTTAGCCTGTATAGCTGGTATCACACACGTATGATTGGTGCCATCTATGACAAGTGTCATGCCCTAGAGATATTGGGAGGCAATGGGGAAATAAACTAGCTGCTCCTAGATTAAGCCACAAGAAAAGCTCAAGTAGCTATAAGAAGGGAGGAAACTGAATCCTCTTGGAATCAGTTGGGACCCATCAGTCCTTGCCAGCCCCCTCTCCCCTCATTCATCTCCAGAAGCCAAATGAGCGAGATGAATGCAGAGATGAATGGGCCAGCCCTGGCTGCTGAATCCCTGTGCTGAGAGCAGGAGCCTCGTAACAACATGCACTTCTGTTGCTATGGCAATGGCAGTGTGGTCACATAGCCAAGAGCTGGGGTGTTTTGCTCTGCTTTCCCGCCACCCCCGTTTGCTTCTGACTATCGCATCAGCAACACTGCGGCAGCAGAAATGCCTGACTGCAGAGTTACAGCATTTCACCAAGGAGGCTGGAGCACTACAACACAGGGCAGAGTTTGTCACTCTCTCCTCCAGCCAAGGAATCAGAGTGCAATCCTAGGAGTAGACAGGATGCTCCAGGCTCAGGAGCCCATGTCTGTAAAGGGTCTTTGCAGTCTAATCCCACCACCATTGAGGCCAATGGGAATCATTCCCATGGAACTGAGAATGAAGTCCAGCCCTTGGTACCTACCGAGCCCCCTTTCAAACCACTTAACACAGGAAGTAAATATTGCTGTCCCCTTTTTAGAGATGGGGAAACTGAGGCAAAGAGAGGGGCCATGCTGGGCAGTGTTACACAGAGTCTGTCTACACTGCAAGCAAAGGTGTAATTGTAGCACGGGTTGGCTTTAATCTGGCTGCCATGGGTAACAATGATAGTGTAGCCACGCTGGCACAGGCTTCAGCATGGGCTAGCAGCCCAAGTATGAACCAGGCTCCCTGACCATCTTGTCTTCAGGGTGCGGAGCTGCAGCCTGCATCGCCACGTCTACACTGCTATTGTTACCTGTGCTAGCTAGATTCAAGCTGGCACAGGTTTGCCCACCTGTGCTACCATCACATCTTCACTTTGCAGGGCAGACAGACCCTCCGACTGGGTAAATCCTGCTCTCCTTTCCCCCATGTAAATGCAGAACAGCTCTTACCCTGTCCGCAGTTTATCTCAGTGTAGCAGAGCAGTTCAGCCCAACCCCGTGACACCCCTGTGACTTCTCACCAGCTCAAAGACATCTGGTCCACAGGGCCACTGAGAGGACACAGCTGCACCTACCTGTAGTGCAGGGAGGCGGCTTTGCTGATTGGGGATGACTTTTATTGAGACCGTCCCCTTGGCTTCTCTCTAGTGGATAGAAGGAAGGGGAAGAGAGAAGAGTTGGAGAATGTAGCTTCTAGATCAATCCAGAAACCAGCTCAAGGCACCCAGTGTGTCATTAACCTCAGGGTGCACAGGCACTCTCCACTGACTCCAGGAAACCTACAGAGGGCTGGGAACCTGGAGCCATGGTGGCCTCTAACAGGTCTGACAGGCTGGAGTTTTAACCATGGACAAGGTGAGTGCTCAGGGTGCCCTGAGAGAAGCCCTTCTCTGAAGCTGGGCAGCCATCTACTGAATGGTGCAAGAGGATCATTGTGGCCCTAGCAGCTGGAAATCAGAGCTTGACTAAGCACCATCCCCCTAGCTCCCATGGCAGAGGGGGGTTCTGGTTTGACTGCATGGGGGCAATTTTAAATTAAAAAGACAACCGAGCAACCCAAGCCGCACCACGGGTGCTGTATGCACAGCCCCATCCAGTGCTCTGAACGGAGATGGCCTGCACTTGAAAAGTGGCTCGGCCTTTGAAGAGTCTCCAGTAGAAAGGGGAACAACAATAGTTCCTCCTAGTGCAGGAGGTGTTGCAACATCTGCTGTGATTTGCATATTAAGAATGAATACAATCAAATCAGGCAACATGTGTGTTATGTGGCCAAATGGGTCATTCCTCAGGAGCAGCCTCCCAAAATACCTACCAGCATCTTCTGCAGCTGGTCGACTGAGTGGTTGCTGACACTTTGCCCATTGATTTCTATGATCTCATCACCCACATGAAGGGAGCCTGCCAGTGACGGGAGAAATTAACCCATGAAATGCACAAGCAAGCAAAATACAACCCCCCAAAATTCTGGATCGCAACCCCCCAGCCTAAGAGACCTCAGACCAAATGGCTTTTGCATTCACAATGCATAGGCATAGTTGCTTTGCAGCATGCAACCGTCTCTTGCAATTTTATATCCAGATTGGCTCATTTAGCATGGTTCTACCAAAGAGTCATGGTGTGTGTCAGTTCACATGCATGCATATAAGCATGTGAAATACACACATGAGGGGAACACAGCTTCGCTCCCTCCATACACACTCCTTTTTATTATATTTTTTAAAAATTGATCAAAAACTAAAGCCATTCATACTAGCCTTTGATCTTGCATCATTCTGTAGTTTAGCTTGCAGTAAAAGCATTCTATTTTAATGGTATCCACAATGTTAACCAATATGTAATGTAAAGCTGAATGGTAACCTCATTGCAGAGCCAACATTCTCTACCTTAAGTGCTCTCGTTTTAGATATCCGTACAGACAACGAAGGCTGGATTCTGATCTCAGATACACAGGGATAAGCCAGCACTCCAATGACGTCACTGGAGTTGGTCTTGACTTATTCTGGTGCGAGATCAGGATCAGGCTGTTTTCTACGTGGACCTATAAAGGCCTCTAAATGGACCCAAAGCCGACAAAGGGCACTCCTTTAGTATGTACAGGACATCTATTTTGCATGTGCCATCTGCAGGTGCCAGAATAAAAAAAGGAAATGGTACAAGTTCATTTACTTTGGCAACTTCTTTTTGTTTGCAGGACATTGGCACAGAAATGTTGCCTTGTTTGTGCATTTTAGCAACAGAAAAAAACATCCTTCAAAATCAGTGGGATCTGATCCACACGGAGTGACAAAGAATCCATCAGCGAGATGAACACAAATGGTTTCTGGTTCTGTTTGCAGGCATGAGCTTAATGACTGCTCCTGCCCCATCTCCCCTCCCGCTTTTTCCCAGCAGAGAACGTCCTGAAACCTCCAGGACAGTGGTTCTCAAACTTTTGTACTGGTGACCCCTTTCACATAGCAAGCCTCTGAGTGTGACCCCCCCTTATAAATTAAAAACATTTTTTTATATATTTAACACCATTATAAATGCTGGAGGCAAAGCAGGGTTTTGGGTGAAGGCTGACAGCTCGCGACCCCCTACGTAATAACCTCACGACCCTGAGGGGTCCCAACCCCCAGTTTGAGAACCCCTGCTCCAGGGCATTAATGCAGCAGCCACATGTAAAGAGCAGAGGGAGGGGATACAAGAGATGGAGGAATCAAATGGAAAATTCACCAGCACCATGGAACTGTTTAATCCCTTTGCACTGAAACTACCCAGCTCCAAAGATGAAACTGACAGGCTCTACCCAGCACCAGGGTGGAAGGAAAGGGCTAAAGTCTCTGACTAAACAGAAGCCTTTTGTGTCTAGGTCTCAGTCAATGATGACTTCAGATTCTTGCCATTTGCTGTTACCTTGTCTATGTATCATGCCTCCATGGAGAATCCTGGCCACCATGCAGCTCTGCTTCTCATTCAACTTCAGCGTTATTCCCTGGAAAACAGGAAAATCTGTGACTGTCTTACATATCTAGGGTGAGACACTCACTTCTCAAGGTAAAGTCCGCGCCTGGCCGGTATCCAAGACGGTCTGTCTCACTTCTCAGAGTCCTCTCCTGGCACAATTCCAGCCGGGTTAATTTCCTCTTGGCAGAATAAATCAACAGCTGATGCAGCTTCCTCCCGGTCCCACTACGCCCTGTGCAGCTCCCCTCAGGCTCCAAGTGGGGTAGGCAGTGGCCAAAGCAGCACCCTTGTCCCAGTGGAACAGACAATGGTCTGGCTGAAGTCTGCAAAATTCAAGATCATCCCTACCCCACCCACGGACCTGGGAGCTGGACTGGATTGTCACTCCCACTGTGCATGCCAATGCACCAGTGGGTCTCACCCTGACCCCTGAGGCCTTAAGGGTTACCAAACTCTTGCCAGCTCACCATGGGTTCCTCGGTGACCTTCTCGAACTGGACCAGCCGGATCTTGCGCACCTCCCGGCTGTCCATGTGAGCTGGGCTGCCCAGCATGGCTGAGCCGTTGGTGTAGATGTCCTCAGTCACAGCGGTTGATGGATACACGACAGCCTATCAGGGCAAAGCACAGACCAGGGTTAGGGACAGCACTGGAGGTCCTGCAACACGCCTTTCTGTGGGAGATGAGCCCGTCTGGAACTCCCTAGTGTATCCATGACGATCCCCTATGTGCCATGGGGCTGTTGGTGGCTCTTCCTGTGTTCTGCTGAACCCATCAGCCTCAAGATGCACTTTCTAGTCACACTATTGATGCCTCTCTTGTGAACAGAGCTGGTCAGGGAGCCGCCACCAAGCTGAAGAGCTGGGATTGCTGACCATCACTGCCCTTGGGAAGACGAGGTCCAGGAGTGCTGGGAAAGCGGCACTCCCAGCTCTCAGGAGGAAGCTCAGCCTTGTGTCGCTCCACAGTGATCCCTGCTGGCCAGCTCAGGAGTAACATTAGTGGAGCTCATTCTAGCCCAGACAGCAGGTGGGGCCTGTGTCCAAGAGAGATGGGAGAGTAAAAAGAAAGAAAAAGAAACATAAAGGACTTCAGCCAGAGAGAAACGAGCTTGATCCAAATGTCCAGCGTGTAAATAGAACTGGAGGCTTGGCAACACTTGAGAAAGGTAGCCAAAGGGGTCCCAGGAGTCTTCTGCAAGGTGTTCCAAAGCTTAATAAGACGGTGTGGCAGAACATTACAAACCTAGAGTTAAATGTTACTTTTTCTCACATGAGAATCACTCCAGAGTAACTTCACTAAAATAAGTGGAGTTACTCTGGATCCACACAAATGTAACTAGGAGCAGAACTCGGACTCTGGTTTCCATTAGTTTGAACCAACTCTCACCTCCGGTCCAAGCAACACAGCTGTCTGCAGGCTAAGCTCCTCACAGTACCCATTCTCCCCAGCACCCCACAGGGTTTTAAGCACTAAACTTTGCTGGATAAAACTGATGGATCACTGGCACAAATCATAGCTGTCTCTCCACTCATAGATGCAGCAACTCCATCTAGGAATCACCATGACAAGAGCAGGCCTCCCAAAACTCACTCCACCAAGGATTTCCAAGGAAGCATGAACCCATGTACCCAGAGTTGTTCACACACATCGCAAGTCCTAGAGCTCACCTGTAACTCCTGCTGTCCCACCCCTGACAGCATACCCAGCCAGGACGGCTGTACAACCCTCTCAATATCACAAATTAACAGGACTAGATGGAGGATATTTCTCGAGCAGCACACAGCAGCACATAAATGGTTAAAGAACTGATACCTGGGTCAGTAGGAACCATGGGAACTGCCTGAACTAGCTCCCACAAGGCCAGCTTTTGCAAACGTACCCCCCCAGAGCAATCTAACATCTCCCCTGCCTGCCGGCTGGGTCCTGCTTCATGGAAGGATCAGACCTGCCTAACCTTGGGCTTTTGGGGTTGCTTGTCAGGCTCCCTGATGGCCTCTCGCAGCTCCAAGACCCTTGGTACCATTCTGGCCATGATCCACAGATGTCACAATTGCAGGTGCTGAAAGCTGTGAACAGCACATTGGATAGAGCAGAGGCGGAACAGAGATGGTCCTATCCAGGCAGCGCAGGAGAGAGGGTTTAAGCCCCACCGCCAGCCAGAAACACTTGATTTTCCCAATTTAACAAAAGTTACAAATGAGCTGACTGTCGGATGGCAGTGAGAACGTGTGTGTGTGTGGGGGGGTGTTATTCGCAGCAAGAAATTGGAAAGGTGGAGAGATTCTCAACAGCATTCTCACTCCCCATGGCCGACCTGGTCCCAATACAATGATGCTTTCCACTGGCCAATAAGCAGATGGGAAGAGGAACCATCCCAAAGCCAGGTTGCAGACCATGTGTGTGAAGCTCTGGAGACTTAATCATCCCTTGGCCGGAGGATCTTACACAAAGTATCAGTAGAAATCTATAAACCGCATACAGAGGGCCAGATTCCTCCTGGGACAAAGTGGGCCCAACTCCACCAAAGTTGATGCAATGACACCACTTAGGCTCTTGGCCAGCATGGCGAGGGATGCTGGGAAATAAGCTAGGCACACAGGATTTCACCCAGAGTGCATTTTGCAAGTGCTAGGGGCCAGTGGCACCTCATTTCAGCCCTGCAGCCTCTTCTCAGTTCCAGTCTTGGGCCCCACTCAGCCCCGTCAATGGTCCTCAGTCCTGACCTGCAGTTCCCCCTGCTACTCCAGTCCATACCTCTGCAATGAGCCCTGCTTGGGCAGCTCACTGCTGACCTGCAGCCCTGCTATCCCATGCTGGGCCCCAATGACACATCCATTGGCGGTGAGCTTGTCAGACATCTCTCCCCCCCAGCTGGCACTATACAACCATCCTCTTTAGCCAGCTCCCAGCACTCGCTAGGATAAAGCAAACACCCCCAGCTGTTCCAGATTAGATATTAGTCCACTGATTTTACTGCTTCAGGAACAATTAATGAGCTGCAGAGAGCAGCCCTGGCCAGGACCAAGCCCATTAACCTCTTCTGGTGCTGAGGTGGCAACATGCATTCGTGGTTAATATGTAGGCAACCCTGGCTCCTTGCAGCAGGGGCTACAGGAAGGGCATGTGTGTGAGGCCTCCCATGTCAGGATATGTCAGAAGACTGATGATCATGTTCCCCATCCTACAGGAGCTCAGATCAGGAGTCCTGGCCAGCTCACACCAGGAAATGATCGTGGCTCTTGTCAGTTTTACTCCTGTACTCGTGACTTTGCATGTTGTATCACGTCACATGGAATTAATGCAGCCTGCCCCTGTTGCATGCAGTCTCTAGCATCCTCCGAGGTCGTGCTCTCCCACCGGACCCTGGGAGGAGTTCAAGATGGTGGCCAGTTGCTCAGACCATGTGAAGCACTTTGCTTGTGTCCTAGGATCTCACAGAATCCCAACAAATTACACAGGAGTTTTAAAAGAGATGGCACAGTATAATCTTTTCAAGAAGCCAGCAGGCTGCCGACTAACCACTCTGCATTCCAGGAGGAGCAAGTATAACTGACCCTGCTTGGGCTATGATCAGGATTTGAACTTGAGACCTTCAGTGCTAAAAGCATGAGCCTCTGCCACTTGAATTACAGGAATAACTCCCCTAGATTATAGCAGTAGTAGACTCTCATCTTCTTATGTGGGCCAGCCACTAGGGGGAACAAAGTCACACACTGTGTTAGTGTGCGATACAGAACCTCTCTACCTCCCAACACATGATCTGGGACAAATCTGAGACAGAGATCACCATGTGCCTTACTCTTATACCAATTTGTCTTAGGACATTTCTGCTCTGAACTCAAAACGTCTCTTTGACCAGCTGATTCAGCCACCACCACTGCTCTGCTCCCCTCCACCCACCCTCAGTCCCAGCTGCAAAGCACATTCAGAAAGACTCTGGTGGGAAATTGTTTTTCTCTCGTTTCCTTGATTTTTGGTTATTTTGTTCTTTGTTTTTAAACTGACCTTGGATTCCCCTGCAACTTATCTGACACCTTGCCTTCACCCTCCCCTCCTTTCACCTTAGGGGTAAACACTAAGGACATGTCTACATGGGAAAAGGTTTGCAGGTTATACCAGCATCAAAGTGCCATTGCTGGTATCGCTTATGGTTAAGGGTATGATTTAGTCACGGGTATTTTTAATAAAAGTCATGGACAGGTCACGGGCAAGAAACAAAAAATCACAGGCTGGGGAACCTGCTGCTGCTCCCACCACCACCTAGGTGGGAGCCCCAGGGGGCCTGCTGCCGATCTGGGGTGGTGGGGAAAGACCCGGGGCCAGCCACTGCTCTGGCCGCACCAAGATTGCTGCTGGAAGACGCTGAGCTGTGTCTGCTCCCACCATCCCCGGGACTGCTGCTCAGGCGGTCCCTGGGGCCAGTCACATCAGCCGCTGCTTGGGCGGTTCCAGGGGCCAGCTGCCCAGGGCTGACAGAGCAGCAGTTGGCTGCAGATCCATTCCAGCAGCGGCCAGTGTGGTTGTCCCCAGGGCTGCCCAAGGAGCTGTCCCCAGCTGGTCAGCCACACGGGCCGCTGCAGAAGTCACGGAGGTCGCAGGAAGTCATGGATTCCGTGACTTCTGCAACCTCCATGACAAACAAGGAGCCTTACTTATGGTTGGTGAATGAAATAAGCAATACCAGCAGAAGCATTTTTTTAACCTATCTACACATTAGGGCTTCTGCCACTTAGAATCATAAATCACACTTGAACTGGCATTGCTATACCAGCAACAGCGTCTAGTGTAGACTGGGCCTGTTTTGGAACCAGCCTTATACACAGAGAGTGCAGAGTCAGTTGGGTGCAGCTTCCTGTCTTCAAGAGCATGTGTGTAGGGATGTAGCAACTTCTCTTCCCACACCACACACACACACACTTCACATTCATCTCCACTACAAAACCACAATGCAATTCAGCATGCGCTGGCAGATGATGCTGGACAAAAGGGGCTGGGGCTACAATAGCAAGGGGGGGGGGGCAAACTGCAGGCCTAAGCTGTGTGGGGAATCCAGAGCTCTAGTGGGAGATGGGGGCTGCAGGTCAGGTTTGAGGGGCATTGGTGGAGCTGTTTTGGGTGCTAGGACTGGAATGGTTGAGGGGGAGGAGGGAGGGAATGGCTGTGGGTCATGATTTTACCACGAGCCTGGCGATACTGGTTGCCTTATTCAAAGTCCCAGCTCCTGGAGTCCTGTGCTTAGGTGAGAATCTGAGGTTTCATTTAAAAAAGAATGAACGTTTCTAACCCCCACAGTCAAAGAGAAGAGCTTGAAAATCGAATCTGAATGCATCCTAAAGGCTCAGAAACTAAATGCAAGAAAATGAACCCAAACAGCATTGTTTTTAAAAACAAATCTCATGAATTTTACACCAATCCTGTGACTCAGAGAAGGAGCCTGACTTATGATTTCTGAACATTTGGAGTTGGCCATGCTGCATTGGAAGAGCTGGGTAAGGTGTCTAGGGCTGGCATGGCGGCATGGGGTGGGACACGATTCAGGACTGAGGTGCACTGGGGGACATACTGAGGGGTGATGCTGCAGATCAGGTCTAGGGTGCATCAGCAGAGC